GCAGACTAGTAAACCATGTTAGGATTTATATGAAGATAGGGAGCATAAAAAAAACGAGGCTTATCAAGTTATGCATGAAATTGTCATTGGCCGTCTGGGCAAAACGAATTAACTTATTACGACATCAAAGTGAAACTGAAAATATTATTTTGAAAAATGATAACAGTGTGCACAAATGTACCAAGATCAAAAGAAGAAAGCCTGGAAGAACAAGAGGAATATGACAAAATGTATAAAGGCGGAAATGGCCTAGTTAATATCTACACGCTGGTCATGAGGGTCACTCTCGATGCTATAATCTCTACTACTTAAGAGAAAATTACAAATTAAATCAAATACCTTGTCATATTCCTGTTTGTCTCATTAAAAAATATTCCACTTAATAATAGCTTTGTTCGAAGCCATATAGAAGTCATACGGAATCGATGAAGATATTAAAAAATTACCAGCTTTGAAATTGAATTCGTGAAAAGTAAATATTCTGTTCAATTGGATGAACATTTCAACATTTAGAATACTGAGCATCTTGATGGTCTATGCTAGCTGTAACAGTTTCAGGAAAGGAGTATCGAAAAAATTTAGTCGTGAGGGGCAGCTGGAGACTTGCAGCAGCAGAAATTGCATTTGCTTTGGAAAAATCCTACAACAGTATGTAACAATGTGAAATTCTTATTTCCAATATAACTGCAGTTTCATGAGATAGTGTGCTTGCAATTTTGGGGAATATTGCGGTTTTCTAACCAACTTTAGGAATAAGATTCCCAGTATTCAAAAAGTGTATTGTTTTACATACTTAATTGAAAACTTAAAAACTTCGCGATTGTATTATTATATTATATTTTACAATTGTATTAAAGCAATAAGCAGAAATATCTAAAGTCATAAACATTTACAATAATTTATTTTTGCACTCGAAAGTACGCTGACCAGTAATTGTTTGCAATGTGTCATCGAGAATTTTATTTCTCTGGAAGAATAATTTCTTCTTAACAAACCTGTGGCAACATAATTAATTTTGTTAAACAAATTTAATGATCAAATATTAAATCAAACCAAATGTTTAAAAAAATTAAGAAATTAGACAAAACAACAGAAGAGAAGAAAAAAAATAGAATAAAATAAGTAATATGGTAAGAATTCATAAATCCCTTTTTTAAAAAGGAAAAACAACAAAATTTTAATAAAGCTTTCTACATTATAAGCAGTCAATAATATGCAAATCGCACATCCACTAAGTGTCTTAGTCTTGTATTTCGATTTTCTTGCTCGTTTATTGAAAATTAGAGTTTCCTATAGTTCTTTCACTTTCTGGTTCAATTCCATCATTAATTTCGAGTGGATATAGCAGCATTGAGTATAACTATCTCGTTTTTGCGTGGAAATCTAAGTTCTACTCTCTAAGTGGATGAAATTCCCCGTTGAGTGCGTTGTCTAAGACTGATTAATACTCCGATCTCCATATCTCCCAGAATATATCCAAGGTCTTAAGGGTATTTAACGAATATTTAATAAGCTTATCTCCAGTATTTAGTTTATGTGGGAAAAATTCTTCATCCTTCATGATCCTGCATAATCTTTGTAATAATTGGATAAGGTTATTGAAACATTAGGTGAAATAGAATCAATAGGACATACGATTAAATAGTCGTCAAAATTTGTGTAGATTAATGGACAAGTGTTAAGTATACCTTCTATTTCCACTGTTTAAGTTGTTGGTTCCGTTCCCTTTCCCATAGAAGTTTTCTACCTATTGCCCTTTTCATTGCGTGCTTCGTTAATCCAATTATTTTTTCATAAATGCCTCTTTCCCATGGTGTCCTAGGAGTGGATTTCCAATTCATTCCTATTGTTGCTAAGAAGTTGGCATTCAGTTCCATGATATTTTTAAAAAATAGTTGAAACTGAGTGGTATTATCACTTAAAATCAATTTGGGAATCATCTTCGTCTAACGATAAAATATGATATTTGTCGGAAACAACTGAAAGAAAGAAATAAAATAATACGGTAAAAATTCATAAATCCCTTTTTTAAAATTCAAAAAAGGAAAACAACAAAATTTTAATAAAACTTTCTACATCATAAGCAGTCAACAATATGCAAATCGCACAAATTGTTTTTATTCTTTCTTTGTTCACGCATCTATTAGCTACTTTATAAAGCCATCTTATTTGCATATCAAAAAAAACAACCATGAAAAAATTTTCTTTTGAATAAAAATAAAATAATAAAAAAATTAATTTTTATGTAATTTTTGGTCTACCAATATTTTGGAAGAACCATCCAGATTGGCAAAGGAGAACTTGGTTAGTGTTGGGTTAGTAATAACATGAATCGTCTTCGCCTTGTTTCACCACCTTTTTTCATTATTAACTATTCGCCTTGAATATATTCGCTTTTATTTTTAACCTATTAAATAATTACTTTTCATTTATTATAGTAAACCACACTTTTTTTTAATAAATATTTTAATTCACGGTCGCAAGAGTACATTCTGTTTCCGACAGAAATATTTGGCTTACATCCTTTTTTTTCTTTTTTTTAAGCAGTCCTCTCCATCACTGGTTAAATTTACTCCGCTGGCTTATCGTACGAGACAAATATGCCAGGGCGTCCCTTGGTAACAAAAGCATAGTTGACTCGTCAGCAACGCTCGGATTTTTGGACAGGTTTACTCCTGCGGAGAATAGAACCTCAGCATCAGCGCTCTAAACCGAGCAATAACCCACTAAGCCGTAAACAATGTTCAAAAGAAACTATAAGGAAAAGACCATTCAAGCTCGACCAATTATTTTTGCATTTCGCACCAAAATTTATCTGAATCGCGATGATTTTCATTACCTTGATAACTTAATACAATTTTCTATTATTGATGAATATATCATTTGAAACAACTCAAAAAAGATTTTAATGTTTACTCTAGAGGACAAGAATTTCAATATGCCATGGATCATAAAACGGTTTCGTACCTGAAATAGATTTTTCTTTCAAGGAGAATTAATTAAATTAAGGAGGATTTGCAATCGAAAATTTTATTCCAGGAAATTTTGGAATTGCAAAGATATTCGCCAAAAATGCCCAAAATTAAAAACTTCTGAACGAACAGCTTTTTTCATTTCATATCTAATTGAAATGTGTTTATTTTTATAAATCATTCTTATAAATCATTGATCTAGCATATCATTTTAAACTAGATTTAAAGAATAATGATGCAACGAGGCAAAATAAGCATTATATCGTTTTAATTATAATTAATTATTTTCTGTATTTTTGCTATTCTGTACATGATTAGTAACAAGATTGATCAACGAGATGGGCATCCAACAATTTACTTTATTTATATATAATTTTTCTAAAACCATGTAAATTTCAATTTTAAATTTTCATTTTCTAATTAATGCAAAATCTTCGAAAATAACGAAAATTTCAAGGAGGTCGATGGGAAAAAGATATCTATTTATAAAGATTCGATAAGAAAAAGAGGGTTTTCGTAGAGGGTCGATTGTTGAGAAACATTGCTCCAGTCGATTTGAGTGATTTTTTTTAATTCATTGCCTCATCAAGCCTTCGGAGCAGTGGAAATTCTGGCAATAAAAGATAAAAATTATCCTCTCACCTGGGAAAAGATGAATAATCGATTTGGGTATAACTACTCCATTAAATGACCGATTTAAAAAACTTCAACGGTTAAAAGAGAACGATGAACGACCCAGACGGATCCTAAATAAATAAATAAATAAATTTAAGTATCATAGGGGAAGATACAGCACTTCAATATTTACAAAAATAATTGAACGGAAACTACCAGAATATATAGATTAGAAAATCGCCTATAAAAGGAAGAATTGCTGCGACCAGAAAATTGCACTGCTTTGGACCAGCAGAAAATTAATGGAACTGATACAATCTTGTGTTGTAATTCTAGAAGAAACTTCGAGATTTTCAAAAAATTCCAAGTATAGTGTTAAACGGTATTTTCAAATTTAAAAGTTCTATTTTCGTAAAGATTATATATCCTCCTGTTTGAAATCTAATGGGTGGTGATTCGCCTCGAATGAAAAGTAATCATCAGCGCCTGTTAAAATTTCTGTCCAATCGATCTGAATTCATTCTGAAAAATTTTATGTAGGTGTTTCCCAGTTGAATGAATTTAATGAATCGTGAACACCAAGAAGTTTAGTATTCAAAATTTCTCTTATCACTTAATCTATTTAAAAATCACCAACAACCTTTTGTCTCTCTGCGAAGAGCAACGTTCTTCAGTATTAGTCTCACAACACTTAACAGCAATTTATATAGCTCACATACGATCTGTGCTTTAATTACCTGAAACCTGGATATACCCACCTTGTAAAATGTTTTTACTGCAAAAAATTGGTACTATGCATAAAGAGAAACGAAAATATTTCTTATTCTTATTGCAGCTTCGACAATTATTAGCCAATTAACATCAAAAAGCGTTGATCCCTTACATTATCAGCATGATTATGAAGCACTTCTCTATAGAGAAGTGGAAATGTTCAACTCACATGGCCATTCAACATCAACAAAGACGTTGTGTTTTTGGATGTTGATAGCCGTCTTTTTATAAATTATAGCCTCCGTAAAAAAATTTTAAAAAGGAAACAAGGCCACTGTATCAAGTTCCAGTTTGGCGTAACAATAACCAATCAAATATTTTTCAAATAAAATGCGAGTCAATCGTATTTTTACTCACAGATCCAGAAAAGTAGATTATACAATAAACTACTTCAGACTAACATTAAATGTATCTAGCTGGTAAAAACCCACATAAAATTTTTCAAAATGAATGAAAAAAATGATTAAAATTGATCTAAGAATTTTAACTGGCGCTGATGATTTAGTTTCTATTCGTGGTGAATCACCCCCTATTTCGATTTCGAACACGAGGGTACCATAATCTTAACGAAATTAAAAAATTTCCTTGCGGGTCAAAATGTTATGAATGCAGCTAACCAATGTCAGGTTATAATGATATAATATGGTAATATTGTATTATAATCATGTAATGAATTGCTTTAAATTTGATACAACAAACGCCCAAGTACCAACAATTTACGTTCATAGACGCAAGTCGATTCAGTAAAAGGTTTAAATTAATAAGGTTACCATTTTGGCACTCAGATTCACCAAACGCATAATAAAGAATAGATTCGAGTGGTTAAACCCGATCTTATAACCTCTCATATATAACAATGAAGGAAGCAGGCACAGCTCGATGTATGCTAATCAGATAAGCACAATTTGAAAGTATCAACGACAACGAAATAGCTAAATGGAATCTTTATTATGATGAATATGAAAAACTATGGAAATCGATTAGTCGATTGGAGAACTCAGAATTAAGCGAAAACAGTAAGTACCAATTTATTTACCAAGGCACAATATAATAAGCGACCTCCTTTTAATGTGCTATCATAAAAATTTACATCATATTGATGTCGCTCATACGTTATCAACAATGAGAAATACTTATTGGATTCCAAAGGGTAGAACAGAGAGGTCACACGTGTTTTAAATCAATGTATGGCCTGCAAACGTTGGACTTCCAAACCATTCAAACTGCCTGCTATGGCGAACCTACCGGAATCACAAGTTCAACGTTCAAAGACATTCGAATCAATTGGATTGAATTAGTTAGGTCCTATTACTATGAAACTAGAAAATGGTTTAGGAAAACGATAGATTGCTCTATTTACATGTTTTTCAACCAGAATGGTGCATCTAAAAATAGTAGAGAATTTCTACTGAAGCCTTCTTACATATATTAAGAAGATTTATCGGTTGACGAGGATGACCCAAATTGATTTTAAGTGATAATACCACTCAGTTTCAACTATTTTTTAAAAATATCATGGAACTGAATGCCAACTTCTTAGCAACAATAGGAATGAATTGGAAATCCACTCCTAGGACACCATGGGAAAGAGGCATTTATGAAAAAATAATTGGATTAACGAAGCACGCAATGAAAAGGGCAATAGGTAGAAAACTTCTATGGGAAAGGGAACGGAACCAACAACTTAAACAGTGGAAATAGAAGGTATACTTAACACTTGTCCATTAATCTACACAAATTTTGACGACTATTTAATCGTATGTCCTATTGATTCTATTTCACCTAATGTTTCAATAACCTTACCCAATTATTACAAAGATTATGCAGGATCATGAAGGATGAAGAATTTTTCCCACATAAACTAAATACTGGAGATAAGCTTATTAAATATTCGTTAAATACCCTTAAGACCTTGGATATATTCTGGGAGATATGGAGATCGGAGTATTAATCAGTCTTAGACAACGCACTCAACGGGGAATTTCATCCACTTAGAGAGTAGAACTTAGATTTCCACGCAAAAACGAGATAGTTATACTCAATGAACCTGGAGCACCATGAAGTATATGGAAACTATCCAGAATAAAAGAAAGGATGGGAAAGTGCGGACAGCTACAATAGAGTTACCTAATGATAAAGCACTAAAACGTTAGATAAGTCTGCTATATCCACTCGAAATTAATGATGGAATTGAACCAGAAAGTGAAAGAACTATAGGAAACTCTAATTTTCAATAAACGAGCAAGAAAATCGAAATACAAGAATCGATTGCAATGCGTATTCGAGCATCGGCGAGAAGGATGTCCGAAGTGGAACATATTAAGCTTACCAATCAAGGCTTGCTATTAATGATGGTTATATTACTACAGGTTCAGGTAAACGGTTATGTTATGAAAAAAATTTGCAAAACGACAACTGGTATTCCTTTTAATGGATGGAATTGTGAAGAAATACTACAACAAAATCTCACATTGGCCAAGATAGCTAGATCTCATATACTAGATATCATATGAGAATTGCAGCAATAAGATGCAACAACATTACGCGAGTAGTATGTAAAGCCTTTCTTAGGCTACCTCTATCTGTAGTCTCGGACCAAACAACCACTTCAGCCACATCATCGCAGACTTATAAATTTTTACATAAACATAAAGAAATCAACGGAGTCATGAAACAGATAACACTAGACACTTGGACAACAAATAATAATGTACAATACTTCTATGGATGGTTAGGAGTAAGATCTGTCAATTTACAATAAATTTTACTCACTGAAAGACAATTACTAGTCTATGATGGAAAATGTATGGTACCCGATCTTGGCCGTGCTGAACACTGCAATAGTTATGGAATGAAACTGAAATATCAAAGAATTGTCCATATCAACGGGTATATGATGCACGGATATAAGAATTGTTCACATCAACAGGTATTTATGGAAGTCTTTTTTTTCAATAATCATAATCATAGGTGAACTTCAAACTCACTTATAGTATGAGCCCTATACCTACCTAAAACTACATAGTACTTTTTTCTCCTTCGGTCAAGAATGTTGGGAAAAACCGAAAGAATTTGTTATAAAAAAAAATTCTTCTTGAACAAAAGAGAGAGGAGAGAAGGAGGGTAACGAGCCAGCTATTAAATATTCATAAATCGTACAAAAAATCTTTTTTTTTCTTTGTATAAATGACCACATCTGTTAGCTAATTTGTAAAAAAACTACTTTATTTACAAATCTTAGATGCAGCTGTGAAACAGATACAGTGTATCCTTGAAAAAACAATTTCTATACAATTTTCTCTAGCATAAAAAAAACCTAATTTTTTATGCAGTTGTGATCTGCATGATATAGTATGCTTAACCCACATATGGGCAATACATAAGCTCCTAAAATCCGTTGAGTGTGCTTCAAACGACCAACAATTACTCTTCTCGATCCGGAACTCAACGCGACATTCTCCTTCTTTAACTTAAGCCTATTCGTCTCCTTGACCCAACTGTGCTATTATATTATATTGTTGTTATAATTTGAATAAATTTTCTTTCCCTTCCGACTCATCACTTTCACGACAATTTATTGGTGCCATGAGCCAGAAAATTACGACAAGCTTAACGAGAAAAGCGTACAACCAGCAATAACAAAACTAATTAGACTCCATATTCCAATACCTAATTAATACCTCTTCTCCTTCGATCGGAAATGTCGGAAAAACCGAAAGAAATTATTATAAAAAAAAGGACTCTTCGCAAGAATGAATCAGCTATTTAATATTCAAATCATACGAAATTTATTTTTGTTCTTCCTTTGTATAAACAACACATTTGCTAAATAAAAAAAAAGGCGACCAAATTTTAGATACAGAAAAAATATAAACAATTTTCTCTACAATTTCTTGTGTAATTTGCATAATATTATATGCTCAACCACATATGTGCAGTATATAAGCTCTCAGAATCAATTCTGAACAATTTTCAGGATAACGATCTCCCTCCACCACCTGACGGCAGCAAACAACGATTTCTCTCCACTATCACCACTTGATTTGAGCAAGCAACGATTTCTGTTCACCACCTGACGTCAACAATTTCTCTCCATTACCGGAACGCGATATTCTTCGTCCTTAACGTAAATTCGTCTCCTCAACCCAGTTATTATTGCATTATATTGTTTGCTAATTCAGCGGTAAATAAAATTTTCATTTTCGACTCAAGACAATTTTCACGATACGGGCAATGAGAATGAAAGATATTAAGAAGTTATCTGGCTTTGACCACTCATGTCTAAGATACATTTTACGTTGAGCGGATAAAATATCACATTATCGCATCCACCTTCAACCACTTTCAATGTTCAAATACCACTTGCATTAATAATGTTATCACAGAGCATGGCCTTCGCTAATTAGGGCATGTTCTCCGTCGTCCATCATAGGAGTTGATGCATATTTCGTTACTTTCTAAACTGTTTGATAGATGGCGTCAAAAGCGGAAGTGGGCCAATCAAGACCTGAGCTGATACAGTCAGGAAAGGTTTTAAGCGTATAAAAGGATCAGCGATATATTGACTTAGACGATGGAAAAAGAAATGACTTCTACTAACGATGGCGTCGAATCGAGCAGCTTGGAGGCGTCTTACTCTTGTAACCAGTGGAGTCAACCTAACCTGTAATGGTAAGAGCTGTTAGAAGAAGTATAAACTATTTTCACAGTTCGCTGTATTGTTTAATCGTTTTATCATTTTGTCCATTGTATTTATTTCTCGACTATATTTTTGATCACATATTGTATTATTTTATTTTTATTTTTGTTATACGTATCATTATATATTGTGTACTGTTGTATTGTAATTACTGAAAAATTGTTGACATCGGAAGTAATCGCATCATTTTTCGCCATCACAACGCACTCAACACCAAGATCAACTATAAATCGTACATTTCACACAGGTTTTATCAATGTTATTTGCTTTAAAAGATGTAGAGTTGTAGGTTTCCTCTAATTCAACTGAGATTTTTCTATTGCAAAATGAAACGATCACTTTTCTATGAACACCTTTTTTTTTAATGGACCTTCACCATTACTGGTTAAACTCGCTCCACTGGCTTGTCACATTGAGCAATATGGAAGGGAGTCCCTTGGCGATAGAAATACAGGTCAGTCGCCTGCATCACCTTGATTTTTGGACAGGTATGCTCTTAGACTCCAGCATCGGCGCCTCGAATTGAGCAATAACCCACTGAGTCATTCTATTACCTTCTCAGAATACTATGCAACAGAGATTAAAAATCTGCTTTAATTGAAGAAGCAATTAATTCAGCTTGAAATGTTAAACCAGAACTTGAAGGCTTCGGCTTATGTAATTTTATCGCAATAAAAAAGTCTAAATGGCTAGGCTCGATTCACTGGCTGTTAATAGAGTGCTCTTAATAGAGTTGGGAATTTTTATTGTGGTGGCGAGGAGTTACTTATGGATAGAGAAATATGGGTGGACTGGACTACTCGGACTTTTTAAATGATAGGAATATTTATGTCGGAGGCAGGGACGTTTTAGCTTAAGGCGATATTCTGAGCAACAATGGCTCTGATATCAGCAGTGAATATGCTTTCAAAAACACATTATGGTATTATGGTATTTTTCAAAAAAATTTTTAATTGTTTTTTTTCAGCAAAGAGATATGGTAATAATAAGAATGAATATAATAAAATAAACTGGCAACAACTAGACTGGTTTTTTGAGATGCGCCAATTATGTGCGAATAATTCATTGATATAATCATCACTAATCAATCATAGTTCATTATTTAGGAGATGAAATAAAAAAAAGGAGAATATGTTGTATTTATTTTCATAAAGAACCAGAATTAGTCAATTAGTTAAGAGAGAGCTTTCCCATAAAAGATTTCATTCTTTGTTTTTTGTTCGAGAGTGCTTCTTATGAAAGAGCATTTTACATCCTTTCTAACCGATTAACTAACAAAGCAAAGAAATCACTCTTAACAGTTTCTTAACATTATCACAATGAAAACTACTTTTTTAAGTGTAAATAATTGATCATTCAAATGAAAATATTTATTTTTCAAATATTAGGAATGTTACATTTGTTTATTATTGTGCAGTACTAAAGAGGATATTGTCATAATTTCATTGATCTTTTTTTTCAAATTTTTTATCAAATGCAGTAGTGAAATCCAAGTGAAAACGAGAACTAATATATTTATGTTTTTTCCGATTACTGTATATTGAAAACATAAAACTAGTATATATCGTCAATATAGCATCAGCAACAGAGTTGTGAAAATGTGGACTGAGGAATCAAAAGAAATCGTTTGTGCCAAAAACTTATCAAAGCTATTAATGAAATTTTTTTTTAATTTTATACTTGAATAAAATTTGCTGTCTGTATACATTGCAAATCAATTTATTTTTCTCCGAAAAGCGAAAATTTTCCACAAATATTTCATGCCTAGAAAATCAAATAAAAATTTCAGATGATTGTTTTTATTTTACATTGTCTGTAATTGAATGATGATGAATGAATTCGGGATTGGAAGTTGTGAACTCAAACTGAAGCAATGTTTCCTGAAAATGCGGAGGTAGGAATAGAAATTCCTGATTGCTTATTATCTAACCAATTTTATCAAATGAAAGTATATTCCAAAAGCATTTTGCTTAGGGCTAATTTGCCGACTAAAATAAGTTTTGCTCAGAGGCAACTACAATAATAGTTCATAAAACCATTTCGTTGATGAAGATTCAATAATCGAATAGAAATTATCGAATATATTAATTTTACATTTGCAGTTTTGCGCAGAAATCAGCGCCAGGTTTAATAAAATTATCTACATCCAAGTTTTGAAAAACATATGCATAAGGAAGATAACGTATGGCTTTTATGGCTTTTTTCTTTATTGCTGATTAATTTTCTAGACTTTTCATTATCCTTTTAATTCTTTTTTTTTTTATTTTAAGAGAATTTATCTTCTTATTTTCAGATAGTTTTTCACGATAATTTTTTAAGATATCTGATGGCATTTGGTTCTTTTTTTTCCATCGTTTTAATTTTCACTTTGTGATTTTCACATTTGCGAGATTGATTTTCTGTTTAAGCTTAATTTAATTATTAAAAAGACTAGCAAATCAAGAATCTGATTTTTGAATAAAATGGATAAAGGCTGGACATAGCATTATCTTAGTGAAAAAATATATGATAGACGAAAACGATAACTGAAAAGCGATAATCGAAACTTGTTCAATATCGGTCGCCTAAAAGTGACTAACAAGAAGTGTTTCATGATCATTTAGAAATTTTCATCGCTGCATTGAGGTTGTACGACAATGACCATCTTGAAAATCATTATCTTTCTAAGCTACTCCATATATTGTAGCTCTATTGTCATTGGTATGTTCAATTATCTAATTATCATTCTAATTATTCTAATTATCATTATAAGCCTACGCTGCATTCATTATTTTTCTATGAGAATTTTGGATTTAGCTTTAAGATCTATTGCTTTAACTACTACTTACCATCACATTCACATACTTTTGTTGGTAATTGAATCTTGGGGAAAAAAGCATTGGTTCTTTTCATAATTCTGTTTCTCAGATATTTCAGATATTTCTCAGATAATTTTTTTTTGAGGTTCATTTCCTGGTTCTTTTAATTTTGATAATTCTATTTCTCAGATAATTTAGAGAAGAAGGTTTTTTTTTTTTGAGATTTCAGTGAGATCAAACTTCTTCAGAACATTTAAGGTTATTAATCCAGTAATGGTAAAGGTATTTAGCGAGTATTCTCGATAAATGAGATTAAATAGCCATCTGACTGAAATAGGCTTATCTTAGCAATTTGTAAAGTTTCTTAATGATTGAAGAATTCTTCAAGAAAAATAAATTTAATTGGATATTTTAATGGATTTAATAAATGATTATTTCAAAAATTTCACAATTTTAATTTTTTCAAACACCAACAGCTGTAATCGACATAAAATTTGCTTAAAACGATGGCCATGAAGCAAAAAGTTTAAGAACTTTTATAATCACTGATTCAATAATATATTTTAAGTGAAAATTTTTTTTGATAGGCATGGCATACTAAATACAACTTAGTCTTGTACCATCTTTGAGAATGGAATTCTATTTTATTTTATCGCTTAAAAAATTGGAGTTTTTGTCGTATAAATCTTTCTAGTTCTATTCATCTCTGGCTGCCTTGCTTATTGCACGTCCTCAGACTTAGACTTTTTTTGACTTCTTAGACTTATACTTTTGATTATCGAAAAAGGAACTAAATCTTTTTAACAAAAATTTACTTGAAATACAAATTAATTAATTTATTAATTAATTTATTGTAAAATAATAAATAATAAATAAATTATAAATTATAGTTAATGATAGCCAAATGATTTTAAGAATGATTTTTTTTTCTCTCTTTTTTTATGGAATCGCTATGGAATTAAAGGCTCGATTTTTTGTTCAATGCAATGAAAGAAAGATTAACTGTAAAACTTTAGAAAAAAACTGAACGTTTTGATTTTGGTTTATTTACAAAACAAAGACAGCCGGTCATTTTGGATGAATTCAGCTGAATCATTGCGATAGCGATTAAGAAATGTTTCGCGATAAAAAAAAGACTATAAATCCATTTAATTTGTCACATAAAAAAAATGGCAGAAAAAAATATTTGGTGAAATAAATGATTTGGTCAAACAAGGGGAGGAAGTAGTGTTACCCCATAAGTAAAGTGGAAGAATTATAAAATGTTGCATATTTGTGAGATGGATTGACTTTGACTTGATATTATTGTGTTTTTACGTCAGTCAGCAAAAATGATTTTCAGATAAAATTACCTGTGGCGATAAGTTCTACTGTTCCGATCGATGTAAGATCACTTATAAAACGAATGGTTGTCCACACAATTGCAACTGTGGGGCACTGAAGAAATGCCCATTAGTCACTTGCCCAGCACGTTCACCGATATGCGCTGTTTATACTCAACTGGATGGCTGCCAGGTAGACCATTTCCACAGTGTTATTATTTTTGTTCTTTACATTATAAATTGGCGTTTCATATGATTTAGTTTTGTTTTCTATTCGGAGATAAATAGCACAGTTTTTTGATAATTTTCATAAGAAGTAGCAAGAATTGCAATAAGTGAAAAAAACATCAGAAAAAGCCATCAGAAAACCATTTAGACGAGTTACTCGAGAATGGCTCGACTTGTAACACAACTGATAAAAAAAAAACTTCCTATAATAAAATTGGAGAGAGCATACAACTGTGATCTGCTTTCGATGTCTCCCGTAATATCTCCTTTATATAAATTGCCTTCCTTTATGAGTTATTTTATCTCGACTTTGCGGCAGTTATCTTACTTTCCTTCTTGACTTGTCGATATTCATTTCAACAGCGATTGACAGTTCTTCAAAAATTTTACAAAACTTTTTATTAGGAGCAGTGGGGGTGAAAAAAAATTTGCTCAAAATCGTTTTTTGAACATATTTTCCGAAACAAATTTTTTGCACTCGACATACTTTTTAGTTCTTATTTGTGCTTCTTATTTCTTTTAGTTTTTTTTTAATTTTGAATTATTTTTAATTAATTTTTAATTTAATTAATTTTTAATTTAATTTTTAATTTAATTAATTTTTCATCTATTCATATCCATTTGGAAGTATTGTAAATTTGTTTTTCACTGTAATTAAGCAAATTAAATCTGTCAATAACCGATAGAAACCGTCAGATGAGAATTTTGACGCAATTTTGTGACTGAATTTTGTGAATAAAACCAAATATAACCAATTCGATAGTAAATATTCAGATTAATCTTCCTTGTTAACTGTATCTAACGAACGTTTAATTCTTTTTCATATGTGCTTTTGTTTTCTGTTTTTTAATCGCAACATTTTTTGACATGTCTTCATGTCTTATTGGGTTATAAAGATTTCTTTTTCGCTGTGCCTGGCTCGAGGGTCAGTTATTTTCGTTAAGCCACATTGGCTGATCTCTCATATACTACTATGTTCGCTATGATCTTAGGTTTCTTTTCGTCTTAAACCAGTAAGTGCGTTTAATCTTTTTTTGGTTGATTTAGCCTATAAGATTCTATATAGAACGGTAATTTTCGACATTTCATATGCATAAATTGGGGCATCGAGCTACAGAAACCGATCGCAATATAAATAGCTTTTGGTGACGACGCTCTTAGATAAAGATTATGAAGTTCAGACGGGATATATAGAGCTTAAAAATAACCATTAAAATAACAAGAAAATTTCCGGAGGAAATGGTGGAGGCTAACCTCAGAGGGACAATGGTTAATCTCCTCGATATATGCCAAAATATGACCTTCGCTGGAAGAAAAATGAGGTCTCTGTTCACTCCGCTTGAAGGACTGACATTATTATTATTATTATTATTATTATTATTATTATTATTATTATTATTATTATTATTATTATTATGGTTTCTTAAAACCGCGTTGATTACAGCAAAGCTGTATGGTAAAATGGTAAAGAATTGGAATAATTCACTAAGAATTGCAAACACGACCCGTACTGGCAAAAAAGGTTTCATGAGTCTGCATGAATGCTCGTCGCAGTCATTTGTAAAAATTTTTGAATATACCAATTATTTCTCATTGACCATATTCCCCAAGATCTTTCATGGGTAACTTTCACTTCTTCCTCTTTCCCAACAGATTCCTCAGGAAAGAAATATTAAAAAACTCGAGGGCCATGAAAACATTTCAGTCTTCCCGCAATTCATTGGTTTCTTGGACTTTTAAGCAAATGGCAGAAAAATACGTCTATTACAATGGCAAAATATATTGATTGTACTTATTTTTATTAGAAATATTGATAGAAATATTGATTATCAAAAAATTTATGATATCACAAAATAAACGGCAACGGCAACTGAGCGTCCAAAATTTTTTGATGACCCACTATATCCAATTACCACTGCATATTGTCTCTAAGATTACTAGCTACAAATAAATAAAAAATTTAAAAAATGAAATATGTTTTTATTTTTTGATTGAGGCCCTCGAAATCATATTTGATCCTTTGCGTATAAAAGGCTGTGCAGCACTAATTTACAATGTTTCCGGTAAGTATTAACAAATGGAAACATTAAAAGGCGATTGTTGAATTCCATGTCAAATGCCAAAGTTTTCAAAACGCTTTTTTAATCATTTTATTTTAAATCTTCTAAAATCTCCACTATTGTCCCATTTGATCAGAAATATTTATTTATATAAATATTTACCTGCCAAAAATCCGCTTCTCTCCTAATTGCAATTTTAATTATAAAAGAAAATTTCTATAACCTGGATTCTCTGTCAGTTCGTCGTATTAAACAAGATTTGATTTATGCTTATAAGATTTTGTATGGTTATGTTGTACTGCTGTTATTAATAATAAAGCACGTTGCGTTTGCGCTCTGCTTGGCTGGTTTTCAATAAATAAATAAATAAAATTGGGTAATTGGTAAATGCATAGAATAAAAACAATATCAATTTGACGAAATTTAAAATTGTAGTAACCAATTTTTATTTTTTTTAAAGACATGTGCTTGTCGATTGCCATATTTAACTGTTGGTTCGCAAAGTGAAAGAGATGTTCTCAATACTGGGTTTGTCTTCGTGAATCGGAAAGACATCAATGAAATCAGGCGCCGTCTTCGAAACGCTCCATCCGGCCTGGGTATCTAATATTATTTTTCCTTTCATTTTTGTTAAATTAAATAATGCTTATTGTAGCGATTCGGGGGAAAAAAGTATTAAAAACGCATATGTGTACACTTACTTTCATGGATAAAGTCGACGAATGTCTTTTTGATGTTTCGATCTACAATGATGAAATTCATCGAAAGGTGAGGATTGTTTTTTGACCGAGTAAAAGATAAACTTACTTATTTATTTAATTTAAAGGCTCAAATCAACTATATAAAATATACGAAAAATACTTAACATATCTGAATAAACAATTCGCGATATCTACTTTTCAGCTGCAATTTTTAAGATTGTTTTCAAATCCTTAAATCCTTTGAAACCTGTCATATCGTGCGTGCAAGTGTGACGTTTTAAACGAGTCGTAAGGAAAACCTTTAGTGCGATGCATGATACGCAATATAACATAATGTCGACGCAATAATAATAATAATATTATAATAACAATAAATAATAATAAGTAATAATAATTAATACTAATAATAATTAATAATAATAATTAATAACAATAATGATAATTAATAATAATAATAACTCTCATTTTGAGCCGTTTCTAGCAGATCTTCTATCTCTGTGCTACACAATATCTGACCCTGCAATAAAATCCAAAGTTATCCCTTTCCCATAACTTTTTTCTTAATGATTCCCTCAAACCCCACTGTCTCACTGTACTCATTTGATAATCCATTAATCCATTGGTAGCATTCCATATTCCATGATTACCGCAGTTAATCTAATTTCTTAATTTTCTTAACCAATCGCAACCTCTTAACCTCTTAAAACTATTGTGCTTTCCCAATGTTTCCTCAAAATGTTTTCTTACATCGCATTTACTTCATTAAAACAAATTACTTCTCTAACTTTAGATTAGACTCCATTATATTCTCTCAGAACTCTTTCTGAACGCTGCTATATTTTTTTGACGTTCCTTGGTAATATCGCCTTGAGCTGTTAAACTTTTAACAATCCTTCAGATGTCGTTGTGGTCTGTAAATATCATTCTTTCGTGCTTCTGATTCTTTTAAAATATTAAATTATTTACGATAATTTTAATTTTTACTAATGCATTTAACAATATGTGTAGCATTTTAGAGTGCAGATGGTGTAGTGATCACATTAAATCCTTTAGTAAAAATGGACAAATTGGATCTTGAGAAAATGTGTTTATTATACAGAAAGGCACTAATATGCATGGGCCGAACGATTTATCGTGTTGGTTTCACTGTCTCACTTTTTTGTTAAATATTTTTCCTTCTTAATATTTTTGACTAAAAATTTTTATATTACTTCGTTATAAATTGCTCTTAGTTCAGCCAAACATAAAAATTTTAATTTTTAAAGATTTTAAGGTTCATAGCTTCAGGAATGCCGACGAACACATCCAATCTTGGCTGAAATCGACGCTATATATGGGTACTCATGTGGATACAAGCAATATCTTTTCTTACACCACCTTGATTGCATCCAAAAATCGCACATAAAAAGCTATAGACTTGCGGTATGTGAGGACTCGACACACCGAGCTCTTAGATTTATCGAATCTTCATCATTCAGTATTGAAGAAAAGCAGGTTAAGATTATCCTCGATTATTTTCGTTATGATGTGCTATTTAATGCACAGTTAGCCAACGCATTTCATTAAAATGGATTGTACTAGTTTATTAATGTTTAGAAACAAAAATGTGAGACTTTAAACTGGCTGATGAACTGTGAGAAAGCAACAATGCAACGACTTTGTTCCATGGAAGCCAGCATTGTGAATGATGAATCATTGATGAGTGCATCGCAGTATGTTGCTCCAGGTACCTCCTTATTATTCATTTCCAAACAACTTGATAAACGGAGTTATATAAAAGGAGTTCTAAGTTAATAGAAAATTAAGTTTGGTAGAAATTTTTATAAAAAAACCAAGCATTGATGAAACTTAATAATGTTTGCATAGCGATATTGAAATTTGACAGCGCTTATGTTATTGTAGCATTTATTAAACATGGGACGGACTTATGCATTATGGTTGGAAGTACTATGTCTAAATTTCATAAGCCTGCGAACACAAAAATCGTCACATTTTTTGATATTTTTTTGCAGAATGCCATCCTGATTTTGAACGCAAAGTCTTTGTAAGTGACAATGAAAATGATCTCATCGAAAAAGAGAATTTAATTTGCACTAAAAAACAGCAAGAGGAAATTAAATACAATTTTCGGTAATTTTAATCGTTGGCTTTATAAAATTATTATGAATTATATACAAAAAGCCATGAAAAACTTGGCAAAACATACCATCGAATTCGTTCTTGGATGTATCTCTCATACAATTTCCTATTTACGTCTTCGGGCATTGTCATTAATTCATTCTTGTAAGATTTTCACTTTATTCACTATTAGCTCAACTCGTATAAACATGCAAATAAGAAGAAATTTACTTTTTTCTGTGTTTGAAATCAAATTTATGAGTTTGAAAATATGTTTTAACTCCTAACATATGTTAAGCCATAATTTTACAGATTTCTTGACTCAGATGTAAGACGCCATGAATCTGCATTTAGTGCTGTCTATCCAATTGCATATAGTTATCCTAAACCGATGTTATCTAATCGTTGTGCTGATTATCAGAAGGCATATGCAAATATAACTGCTATTGCCAAAAAAAATTGCCTGAGGCGTTATCAACCATATAATACCGTAAGCTGTTTGATGACATAAATTTAATAAAATCAAATATGGAATTTACCAAAAGAAATTTTTTAAAAAAACTTCCAATTTTTCTTATATTATATTACTATTTTAGGAAAGGATGTTATTATATTTTAGGTTTATTTTACCCTCGAATATCCATGTGGTCATGGTACAATGGATAATTTCTTCAAGCATTTTGATTGCTTACAGAGAATAAGACGTGAGCGACATGTACAACAGTGTGAACGCAGCGCGACCAGGTATTCCCTAGAAATTTTTCCAGATTATCGAGATATCGATTTATAATTGGCTGCAGCAACCAGACTGAGTTCCTAAAATATGCAGCTCATTTTTTTTTATGATGCACACTGGATTTTGCATTGGTTATTTCCATTTGATGATTTTTTAAATAAAACCGTAATTTTTTTGGTAATTTGGTAAAATTTTCTTTTGCTGCTAGATTTGATTCCTTTTGTTCGGAGTTCTTCATTTTCTAGAAACTATTATCTTAAATATTTGCATATCTTTATAACTTTTGATCATATTGAAGTAGAATAAAAAAGGTTAACCATATATATCTTCGATAACAGTTGATCACAACTTAATGTAAAAATTTTAAGGGCAATTAATGATCCAAGCAATGATCCTTGCGAGGCTTACAGCATCCTTGCTCATTGCATATATGACAGTGTTGTAAGGGTAAGTATATGGTATTTTTTCCTCGAGTTTCATTTTTATTGAATTTTTATTATATGTGGGGTACAAAACTTTAGCAAATTCCATAATGATAATAACAATAATGATAATGGTAATAATGATAATAATAATATGATAAGAAATGATAATGGAAAGTACTTCCAACTTTTTTTTTGCACTAATTTTACCGTATACAGCGCTGTGGATATACTGGATGGGAAACAGAATATCAGTATTTGGCTCTTACTGTTAACTATATGGTACCAAGCTGTCGCATAAAACGGATTATTCGAAATGCCGATTTCTCATTTATCGAAGACTAAAACGGTTTACGCAGGTTTATCATTATTTAATGGAGAAAATTTTTAGCATCGAAACTTAAATAATTTTCCTGATTTCCTTGTTATAACATCTGCCATTAATTTTGCTGAAATAATGTAATTAGCGAGCGCTTCCAGTTAGTTTAGTTTAATTTATTTCTCCATATAAGATGGTTTTTTTTATCTCTTCGATTAGATTATCCTCAAATTTTTCTTGCCACTGGCTACTAATAGGATCTCTGTTTGGGAAATAAAAAAATGAGTCTCCAGTACTAGTCTTCATTTTTTAATAATAGGTTTATGTAAAGAATAGAAATCGAATCTATGATGGATCCACCTTAACAGAAGCAACATCCTCGATCCATCCTCTTCCTAATCATCTTCAAATTAAAGATGTTTGCTGCATTGTTACCATAATATCAAGGTAGTAAATGCAAATACATATAGATTTAGACTTGATAAATATTTGAAATATTTAAGAATATTTGATAAATAAATGGCAAAAAGTAAGGCTTTAAATGATTCAGCTTTAGCACTTTAATATGCAAGCATACATAACTTTAATATTTAATGTTTAATATTTAATGTTTTTTAAGGCTTTGGATGAGGCTTGAGCAATACGAAGCTTTTTTGCAAAGAGATTCGGCAGTTTTTTATCAAAGTATGCATTTTCTAGATTGTACTGAAACTTGTGTTGATATCACTGAGATATTACTTCTTATTATTTTTGAGATATTTTGTTCCATTTTTCTCAGCCAGAATCAGTCGAATTAGAGATAAAAAGATGCAAAATCTGCAGTTTTCTTATATTGCATAAAAACAATATTCAGAAATGGAAACGGTGAATTCATAAATTTTCAGCAGTGCTTACTCATTTTCACTAAAATTTTAAATTCCATAGTCTATTGTCTATCTAGCATTCAAAAAAAGAAGAATAAATGGTGTTGAGAAACCTGTTCTACATTTCTTTTATAGGTTTTTAGATTTTTAGCATCCAATTATTTTTTTAATTGGCGTTTCATCTTAATGCTTATTATATGATCAATTAAATAATAAAGAAAATGTATATATAGCAGTTCATTATTAAAGTCTTTATTATTTCATTCTTTTTAATTCATATACCTCAAGAATATTTTCATCTTATTTTATAATTTGATATTTATGTTTTGCCATTTAAATCTATTTAAATTATTGAATTAACTGAAATCATTGGCTCGCATTTCCTAATTTATTCATGCTTGCAGATAATTTACTTTTTTAAAACCAAAATTACGATACTTAAAAATAAAAAAGCCATTGATGAAATTAGATTGATTTAAATTTTATATAAATGCCCATAATTCATAACCTAGTCGACACAAAATAATCATAAAATTTTATTAAAGCATTTTAAAAAAGATTCCTCATTTTTAAAAAAAGATTACAATCAGATAGAGAATATTGGTGGAATATCAGCATAAATAAAACAAAATTTAATAGCGGCTTTCAAGAAGCAAATATAATGAGAAATATTTAATGAACATAAAATGTAATATATCCGGTATCTCTGTCAAGGGATATCCTCAAATGTTATTGATGACATATTGTTAAATGTTTACAAGTACATAATTTTTTATTTTTTCATTGAAAAATACATCTACTTGCCAAACATTCTTACACAGTTTTTGTAAATTATTTGTTAGCAAGTGAACGTTGAACAGCATACTCGTTGATTATAACGTTTTGAGAAAACACAGTACGGTGTTTCGGTAAAAACATTGCAACTAGTCGGTGCGCTACATTCCAATGGTTTATTAGTATAAGCATAAGTCCTTATTTTACCTTTAAAAAGATCTTTTAGAATTTGAGTTGATTTGACTGATTGAAGTTGTTATGTGGGATAAAAATGATTAAATTTAGTGCTATCTTATGGATTTAAATTCTACTTAAGTTCTTCGCATTTCAAGTTTTAAATGCAGTTCGATTCTTACCATAGGTGCCTGGCAATTCTCCGCAGCATATATATTGTCCTTGGTTGTAAAATTTATTATATTCACAATAATATCCTTGTGAGCAGTCTGCTGTAAGACAATTCACTGGGTAGCCGTTTCTAAATTCCACTTGAGCACCAACCACCGTACAACTGAGCCGAGTAGGTGGACCTGAAGCGAATAAGACATCATAACAATTAAGAAATTTGATAAAAAATATTTCAAATATTACTCGATTTTGTGCAAGCAACACCATTGTAAAAGTATCCTGTAGCACAGGTACATATATTCCCTAAGCATTGGCTATTAGCAGGTTGGCACTGATTGATAGAGCTGCAGTATTCTCCAACTTGCGCACCACCTGAAAAATTTTTTATGAATATATCAAACTTCCCCATAAGAAAGACAAGACACTGAGATTGAAACAAAAAAGACTTAAAATGATGCGAGAAAAAGCAAAAAAAATTTTTTCAAAAACCTGATTTTTTGCATGCAACACCATCGTAAAAATATCCTATGGCGCAGATGCAGATATTCCCCAAGCACTGAGTATTAGGAGATTGACACACAATGCTTATACTGCAATATTCTCCATATCTTGCACTACCTGTAAATTTTAACTGAGTATCATTATAAAACAAAAAAATCCCCTCATCTCCTTAAACTAAATGCGGGGAATCGAAAGAATCTGAATAAAAACAGTTCTATGGTTGAACAAAGAGAGGATGTTTTTTGATCCATTTTTTGATTTTGACCCAGATTTTCGTCAAAATACTATTTTTCGGTCCTATTTTGCATGCCGCGACAATTTTTATCGATAATCGCCTCACTGGAAAATCTAATAAACATAAAATTACAAATGGTCAAAGTGTTAATATCGCTGATTTGATTTAGAGGACCTGAGAAGATGCATTTAATTTAGTCAGTGCATTTCTCGTTATGTCGTCCATTATCTGTTAATGCGATGAAAAAAATTTTTTCTAGCTGACTGTTTGTTTAACTGTTGGATTATTCTCCTGAGCGTCTCAGGTCCTATCTCCAGCAAGAGTAAACCTATTATTACAAAATATCCAGATCATGTTGTGACCAATCTGTACTTTTGTCACTATTTTTAAGGTGTGATGATATTGCTTATAGACTTAAATGCCATTCTATAGTTTCATTAAAAATAATCCCTCACCGCCTGATAATGCACATGAATCACCATTATAAGTATAATTCGGTAAACATTCACAGATGTTTTGCACACAGTGACTATTTGCGGGTTTACACTGAATATTAGCTGTACAATATCCATGATACGGTACGCCATGATCGCCTGAATTGTTCAACTATTATTCCAGAATATTCAGTTGCAATATGATCTTCACCAACAAATATGTGCAATATGATTCATTTGATCTGCATAAGTTGACAAAAAATCTTTAGAAATTTTGTGGGAGTTTTCTAAATCGAAAAAATAAATATTGAAAGTGATTTCCAAAGCCAGCCAAAATAATCATGATTAAACAAAGTGCTGTTCAATCCTATACTAACATAACGTCAACGGTGCTATTTTGCATATGTAATATCCGGGTTACCACGTTTTATCCCCATAATCGTAAATGCTAAACCAAGAAAACTGAAAACTGCTAGAAGAAAAGAAAAATAGCATTATATTTTTCTATCAATCTATCAAACTAAAAATAATACCAATTGAGCTCGAGCAAATTTGTCCATCATAAATAAATCCTTGCTGGCAAAGACAAATATTGTTTTCACACAGACTGTTGAGATATTGACATTGAATTGTCGCCGTACAATAATGGCCATAACTTACTTCATCAAAAGCTAGAATTAATACAACTTGTGATTACATATATATTAAATGGCTCAAATTCTGTTGAAATCGACTAAGAGTTTTTCGTATAATTTTGAACGCAAACGCATTTAAAAGGGCAACAACAAAATCCATTTTCATAATCTAATTTTGTTTTAAAGAGTCCTCACCATTACTGGTTGAACTCCCTCCACTGGCTTGTCACATTGAGCAATATGCCAGGGAGTCCCTTGGCGATAGAAATACAGGTGACTCGCCAGCATCACCCGGATTTTTGTACAGGTTTACTCCTGCGGGGAATCGAACTTCAGCATCGGCGCTCCCAACTGAGCAACAGCCCACTGAATCATTCTGTTCTATCATAATCCAATTATAAAAGAAAAATTTAAATTTTGTCTACAGATTAGAAGACCGGGTTGAAAACCCACTTATACTATTCAAATTACTCTCTGAATGGCTCTCACCATATTAGTTAGTGGGAACTACCAAATCAGAAATGGTTAATACTATTAGAAGAATATGTATTACCTACAACAGTACAGCAAATACCGCCAAAACATTTGTAACCGTATGCTTGCATCACACATCCACGATCATTAACACAAGGAATGCCATTTTCAAGTGCTTTTGTGCCTGAAGGACAATATTGCCCCGACAATAGCTGTAAGACATCTGTAAATCAAGTGCTTTACTTATCATGAATCGAATTTTGGTTCCCAGAAAACTGATTTGTCACAGGTGAAAATGTGGGAATTTCAATAAAAAATGAAGATGGTTTAATTTTGTAATCGAATTAACTAAAAAATTGAAGACTTTAAATGATCAACATAAATAAAAATTGACGCCATTAAAGACTTACAAAACAGACAAAAAATTTCGCACCACATTTTGCACCCCCGAGCAATTTCTACGTTTCTGAAATTTGATTCAAAAAACTAGTTACTCGGTTCACTCGGTTATTTTTTATCAAAGCGCGATACCCGAATCGTTTTTACTTATATAATCGTCTTGAGCATCCTGTCTCAGCCATGAATGTTTTTAAAAAATCGGGATAATGTTGGGATCTATGTATCGATGTCCAAATGACTCCATGGCAAAAAATTCTCATCACAGTAACAACCGGTGGGAAAAGCTTAGCCAGAAATTTTGAGCGTTATCCTCTTACATTTATTCTTTATCAGTTATCTCGAATTCTAACCAATCAAGCCTATACAAAATTCACGAATATGCAAGTATTGCTATTATTATAATTGCTGCATAATCTCATAATATAAAACCATAATACCAAGAAAAATGGAGAAAGAGTAATATAAGTTGATAGTATAGCTTTTTCTGCATTAGGTCTTACTTATCTTATATCCAGACTACAAAAACTTTTTATTTTATATTATCTTCCCTTTATCAGATAATTAGGATTTAGAAAGGAAAAATTTAATTGTTGTAAAGTACAAATCCGTTTTAATATCTAACAGTACAGTGCAGCATAACAATAATTTAAAAATACTGAGAAAAAGAAGCAATTGTTGGTTATAAGTATTGGTTTAAGTATTATTTATAGTAGGAGACAAATCTAGTTGCATTGCATTTAACCAGTACTTTTGTTTCGCCTTTAAGTATACAAATGTGACTCAGTGGGAAAACTTCGTGGTTTTCTGTTTGTTAAGAAAGTGTGTTCAAGCTTAAATCATTTGCGAAAAAGTTTTCTTTCGAATGAATAATAATAGGCTATTTTTATTACTGACTAAAGCTTTTCCCATTGCAGAGTCACAAAAATTGGTTTTATTTTACTTCAATTCAATTAAAATTCTCACATCACGAAAAAGAATGGCAAAAAGACCAAATTCATAATATAAAATGGAACTGGGTAATCCTTTCATTAGATTAAGTAAGACCCTGATAAATTCTCGAGAAGTAAATGTTGATGAAGGAATTGAGGCAAAATATAGGTGAAAAAATAAAGACTTAGACTTGGAAGGACGTCTTATATTTTTTCCTTTACATTATTATCGAAAAATTATAGATTTCATGGGTCGTGCATCTTTTTACTTATTCAGATAGCTATTAAAAATAATTTATTTTTGATTATCAAATATACCTCAAATACGAAGGATTGCATAGAATAATGAATGGACGTAGACTAGTTTACGCAATTCAGCGCTTCTGGATGTAATTCAGTAATTTATAATTCAGAATAATTTATAAAAGTTAGATGATTCATGGTTTCAATTAGGAAACCAATAAAAATGCCTCATATATTTGATCGATGTCATGAAATTCACTATTTTTTGCTCATTTTTTCTCCGCGGTGGTTAATACTAAATGCGCAGATTTTTATAAAATTTGATATCAAAATTTTTCTGGAAACATGTTTTATTCCTCAAATTCACCAAATTTTTTTTTGTCGAATATTCTATTTTGAATGGTCAATTTGCCAGCCAAGAACCATTTGTTCAATCAATTCATTAAGAAAAACGCAAAGAAAAGAATAAATTCGTTATAAGATTTTAATTATACAAAAATAAATATTAAAAAAGGCAAAAATGAAAATTTCATAAGTATTAAGAATAGATTAAATAGAAAAGAAAAAATATAAATGAAATAATGGAATGAGATACACATTAAGAAAAGATTTTCTTTTCTATTGCAATCAGTAATTCGAGAATCCTCGATGACAGAGCGACTCAGATCTTGATACTACGATGAATGCTGCAAATATTGTGACTGCAATTTATTATATGTCATTGTTGAAAAATTAGCATTAAAAATAAAAAATTAAAAAAATTTGTTTGAAAAATGAACTCAAACACGCGATACGAGAAAATCCATCATTTTTCCTTCAGTCATTAGAAATGAAATCCAACTGGAGCTGGAAAATAGTCCTAACTCAATGGTCTAGTATTAATAAAAGAAGATTCTAGCATTGATAACTATGTAAAATATATTTCCATGTTCTGCCTGACATTTGCATAAATCTGACGTGGCCAGATTAACTTATAATTTAAAACATTAGTACTTCTGATCAATCAAAAACTTACGCCGCAAAGAGATTCACACTGCGCTTTAGTTTCAAAACGATTTGCATTTCCACCGCATCCACGATAAAAGAATAATTTACACTTCTTCTCTCGCCGACTGTAAAAATATTGCAAATTCGTTCGTGGGTTAACTTCATCTTCACGGCACAATCGACCTTTAAAATAGTGAACTGCGCATTCGAAGAAAAAGTGCAAACTATTTTGCTGAACTATAAATGAGGATAAGACAAATTGAAATAAAAATATAAAAGAATATGGCACCTTCAGTTGGCTTTATATGGCAAACACTTTGGTCCAAGGAAAGTTTATTCGCTTCAAATATCTCGAATGGATCACTTCTTTCAATATCAATTTGAATTTCGTCACTGTCGACGAATTCCGAATTTCTATTCGTTTTCAAATATCCTGAAATAAAAATTAATGAAATCCATGCTTAAGTTTTCCCTTATCAATGATATATATCTCAGTAAAAAAAAGCACTGTTGAAAAAAATAACTGAACAAAGAAATACCATTAAGATTCCTATGTTTATTCAGTGGTTTGAGCATTAACCTGGCATAAAATCCTTCATAATTTTCTTTCGTTGCTGATTCTGTAAATGATTTAGCATAATAAAAAACTTATGAACGAATTTTTTAAATAAGACAAATAAGCTAATAAATATTATTTCACATTATGAAAAACAATTAACGAAACAATAAATACTAATCAAGTAAATTCGCAATGCAGGAAATATGGAATTTTGTTTCGTTTAAAGCTGTTTTCAACAACAAACCTGAATAAGCTGAATATTTAAACTATACCTGAGGAAGTTCTAGCTTCATTTATGGCTTTATCATTGCCTACATTATCAATCAAGTCCGATCCAGCAATACCTTCAAGACGATTTAATTTACTAAAGTTCAACTTGCATTAATCTGCTTTTTTTATACAAAATTTTTTCCCCATTTCAACATCCTTTGAATTAAAATATCTTTAAATTTTTGTATGAAGTATCTCATTTAAAGGTTCATTTTACCTTTCGCATCTCCTTTGTTCATGTAATGGAATCTAGATGGTTTTGAATCAGATGGCAAAGATCCACGTTCAATTACTTCGCCAGGATTATGCCTTCGTAATCCGAAATATGGAGCGATTGCGGAAGGTGGTGGAATTTTGCTGCCTGTGGTTTCCATTGGGCAGCATAATCGCTCTTAAATAATTTCACTAATATATTTTACTTAACCATTATTTAACCATTACCTAAATGATTCTTCAAACGTTATTTATGGCGAAAATGCCAAAATATCAAGGCCAGAGGATGAATAAGTTATAAAATTATAAGTTAAAAGTGAATAAGTTATAAGTTATAAAACATTTATCTGACTATTCAATTGCCAGCATGAAACATTAACACTTTGTCATGTTTTAGATCTCAGAAAGAGTCTATTCCTGTAGTAGATTCGTTAATATAATAAATGGTTCATTTCATGCTTACTTGCATCTTACTTGCATGGATTCACTGAATTTCTGAAGATTATCTTTATTGATTGTATTTATTGTCAATTACTAATAAGAAAAGTCACAATGCTCATAAAAAATTCCACTAACCCTTCCTTTCTGGATCCATCGAACAATAATAACCGACCGGACAAAGAGATTTACCATCGAACCCTGACCCACAAGTCAGAGGTTCTCCTGAACCATCTAACAAAGCATCGGATCCATCGGAACACATAGCTGATGGAAAAATTGAAGATGGGCGTGATTTTCCAAGGACCGCTGAATATACAAAGTCTGTTTTCCAAATTTTGCATTTGCAAATATTTTTATAATGTTTCAATTTCAAATAACGCAGCTAAATTTTATTTTTTAATATTATGGCTTCAAAAAGTTTGAAATGAAATACCAATAATTCGAATTTCTTTAGGCAATAAAAAATTAAATAAAAAGTAACTGTGTCTTCACCTTCATGTGGTATATTGTCTTGCACTAAGATTTTATCGTCGTAGATTTCGCTTTGACTATCTTCAGCCACTGATTCATCGTGGCCTATTTTAGAATAATGAGAAGCATGTTGTCGAGCTGAATTTACATGAGGAGAAAAACGTGTGTTCTTTGATCGCACTTTCGAGGCCAAGATTTCTTGCAAATCTAAAAAAATTACTTGTTTTCAATATCAAGATAAAAATTACAAAAAGAAATTGTATAATAGTGATAATAACCACTCTTACTAGTTCTTGACAAATATACAATTTTAGTGTTTATTGTTTAATAAAGTGATAAGTGATAACCAGGATAATGTGTGCCTTGAGGGCAGCAAATATCAGGTGGTCCCATTCGGCAAAAATACCGTGGTGGGCATGCTATAGAATCTGTACGATTACCACACAGCACTGGTGCATTTCCACCTAGAGGAACGAGTCCACCGGGACAAACTCCAGAAGGTGGGTCACTCGATGAAAATTCATCTGAAATGTTTCATAAAATAAATATGTAGATTTTGGTTATACACAAATTTATTTGATAAAATTGTAATAGCTGAATATAATTATCTTTTTTAAATAACTAATTAAAACAAACTTAGCACATCAGTTTTGCAAAGTTCTTCACAGTCCTGTTGTGTTGCAAAGTTGTTCCCATTTCCTTCGCAACCCCCATAATAAAATAATCTGCAGCTTGCACTTCCATTATCATAGAAGTAACGAAGATGAGCTTCATTACAAGTACCAGGATCTACATTGTAACTGCATGGGTTAACGAACGCCTTCTGGGTCGTATTATTCATTACAGTGGCCAAAGAATACCGATTCAATGATTTTGCTGAAAAAAATCTTTCCTTATCTTCTCAAAAATATTGAAAGCAACTAGTACCTAAGAGCTATCTGGTTCAGTCAAAAGATTTACTGTTTTCATTATTTCACCAAGCATGCTTTTTCTCCAACATTTTTTAGCTCGTATCATTCACCACTAAAAGTGTAGAAAGAGTATTCATAAAGTTTTTATGAAAAATTTACAATCAAAACGTGTCGATTTCGCATTGTTATCCGTTAATGGCATTTTATCTAGAATTTGTCGCCTAATTCGTTTGTTTTTTTCATTGACGACTTTTTGCAAAGCGAGAGATAATCTCGTGTTTTTATAACCTCGCTTTACCTCTTCACCATCATAACCTGAAAAAATTACTACAAACTACTGCAAATTCTTTAACAATTGCAATGTAATCAAAAGATAACGGATAAATGATCTTGCCAATAATCTAAATAATTACAAAGTATTCCATTCCATTTACATTCAATTTATTTCAATTTAACTCATATGCTACTGTAGTTAGAGTAAGTAACTCTTATGGAAATCTCTAGTTTGTATGATGAAATGTTCAAGAGGAATTTTCCCGAGAAATGCATCAATTACGGCTTATCCTAGTCCAAGTCTCGGAAATTTTAAGTTTGTGAGACTGGTCTATAAAATGCATAATGTTGCAAGGCATTCTGCTCGAATAAAGTTGATAATGATAATAGTTGTAGGACAATATGATAACCATATGTGTTTTATATGCTATGACTTAAGAAGCAACAATACCCAATGGAATTTTTAAACAGATTACCTCCAAAGATGTGCTTATCATATGGATCATCTTCATTAGGACAACAATAAAAGTCGAGGCCACTGAAATAACAGACTGAATTATCTGGACATTGATTTTTACCAGGAAGACACATCACTGGTCGCCCATTTGAGTATAGCATTGGTAATAGATTATTTGGACAAGGAGGAACTCTATCAGGGAAAATTTGATGTTGAAAGCCCAAAAAAGGAGAGTTAGTGAGAGCAAATTGAGAAGATTGAAGATCGAACAATTCGTGAATTTTCGATCCTTCAGCTGAAAATTTATTGATTTTTACAAAAAACACTTTCAGATTGTTTCTTTGAAGTGCGTTTACAATTTAAAAGATTTCATCCACTACCTTTAGCTCGAGTTCCATTCTGGTAATTAATTTCCATTGGTGGTGATGGACCAAGAAAAGGTAACTGCTCTTCGGACGCTTCATTTGATTTTTCGTGGAATGCTTCTGCGCCATAGAGCGATTTTGATGCGGAAATTCGATTTTTCAAAGATTTGAACTGTTCGACTTGAGATAATGAAGAGAGATCGACAACTATGTTATTTGCGGTTAAAAAATACTTGGGAGTCGAATGACTCTTTCCAGTTTCTTGAGCACTGAAAGAAATGAATTACATTTGCTCATGTTTCTTCCCTTTCATAAACACTTTTGGATTTTCATCAGTAATGAGGATAAAAATACTAACAATTCGTTTGCACTCAACGAATCAGATTTTATGATTTCTGAAGCTAATAAATTCGAAGGAATCGGCTCTCTGATTAAATCTTCATCGGTATTTTCAGCAGTCCCTGTAGAATGTTCCAATAGCCTCTCTTCTTTGAAACTTTTCGGCACCAGATTCAGCTCTACTGAAAGCTCAGAAAATAAAGTAGAACCATCATTTTTTCACACACCCGATAATTTTTCCTTCTAATCATGTATTTCTCTTTGGTTGTTACTATCGACTAACATGCTGACATTTCCTCTTCTAGTGTAATCTAAGGAAGGTATGGGCTAGTCTTCAGCACTTCACTCTTGATGGCAACATTTACTGTGATAGCCTCTTAAAAGAGTATGAATTGCTCGAATTTACTCGAAATAACATATCTCCATAACATCCCACACAAATAATTTCTGGGCTATCCTTGATTCCTACTAATCACTGGAAATTTTCATCGATTGGAAGTGACAACAATTTCTAACGCACTTGACATGAATCCAGCTCATGTTGAGCTTGAGATACGCAGAACATGGAGAATATTCTAATATCCTCTGAACCAAATGCGTTATGGCTAAGTAAAAAGATAAAGCCATTTTGCAATCACACATTTTTCCACAAGAAAAAAACCATAAAGTTCAACTGTTAGCACGTTTTTTTTATGGTACATTAATTTGTTAATTTAGCAAATAATATTTAATAATAACTTACGGTTGCAAGTTTTTTGACATTCACCAAGTGTTGAAAATTGATTTGCATTGCCTCCAGCGCCTTGAAATACTATCTGCTCGCATCTCAAATTTCTACTGTTAAAGTACCACTTAACATTATAGCCACCGCCATAACCTTCGTCCTTATTAAGAGTACATTTCTGAGGAAATTGTATAGTTGCCGCACTACTCACTGTAAATTATATGTCTACATGAATCTATGATCGGTGATTATGATATAATAATAATTGCTATAATAATTGCTTACTATAATAATTGCTTCATTATTTAAAATAATCTACTGGGAATTACTAATAATTACAAAAGAATTTTTGCACTCATCGCATTTTATTTTTCATATACTATGGCAAATGATTTTAACTTTTAGTGCTAAAAGTTGGTTTTTATGATTGAATTTAAATTAGAAAAATTCAAAATACGGAGTATTTGGAACAATAACAAACTTTAGAGGCATAGAAATTAGCAAATTTTTTTGAGACCATAAATTACTGGACAAAACTCACCTGGTTTACACCTCGACTCACAAATCTGACGATCCAAAAAATTATTACTGTTTCCTCCACAAGAGCCGTAGGAAAATTGTTCACATTTTCCAGTCTGAGAATTATAAAACCACCTTGGTACATAGTCAAAGCATGGACCAGCATCAGGGGTTTGTAAACAAGCTGCATCTTTTTTCGATTGGTGTGGTGCTCTTTCAGCAAATAATTTAGGTTGAACAGATTCTAAATAATTGCTTCTACTTGTTATTCCACTTGCATTTATCGTTAAAATGTGTTCAACGGATGACTTCTGCCTATTTCCGGCCAAATCAGTAGCCAATTTTTGGCCATGAATGTTAACTTCTCCTAGAAATGATTACCAATTTTTGAAAGTGAAAAGTCTATGCTGAATAGTCTACTGAATAGTCTTCAAACCCACAAAAAATCAGAAACTTCCAGATGATGGTCTTTATAAGGAATTTGGTATTAAAAAATGAAAGAACCTGGAATACTTATGGTTTCTGTAGTCTCGAAATATTGTTGGATTCCGAAAGTAGATTTTTGCTCATCTCCATCTAATGGATTCTTCGTTAAAGCTGAATAAACTGGGTTTACTAAACTGTGTTTATTGCACAGTATATTATATTATTTGATAATCCATTAAATTTGCATTAGTGTTGCCTTTGCGTAAGCCTTCGTGGAATAATTAAAATCTTAAACGATAATATTTAGGTAATAGGGATAAAATTTGGACTTCAAACGATAAGTTTTACTTTTCTTTTTTTTTCCTTTCTTAAATTTGATATTTTAATTTTTTAAATTTTTAATTTTTCCACCTTATCCTTGTCTTCGACAGATAAATCTGTCATACCAAAAATTCGGGTGGCTACTCCACCTACAACTCTATCAGATGTTCTTGAAACTACGTCCGCATCCTCTGACGCGCATAATATTCCCAGCCCTGTGGTATATGCGATAAGTATATAATCCGGGAAAAACGATCCCAAAATTCACAAATAAAATATATTCGCAAGCCAGGGCAATTTTTCGAAATCTATCAAGAGGAAAATCTGCTCTTTGCACGATATAAGCCATATCAGCGTAAAACCTCAGAATGCCTATGGATATTGCAAGCCAAGCGATCACTTTTCATACTCTTTCTTAATATCGTGTGGATATCGCTTGCTTGTCGGGAAACCCCTTTCTTCAATTGGGATCTTGAATAATTACTAAACTTGGCTCCGAACAGAGGTACTATCATTGTGATGTTTCGAATAACTCGGGATAAATGGTGTAGCGATCTGACGATGTTATGGTCCGAGCCAAGATTTGCACAAAATTGACAATCGCATCCCTCAAAATTTTATAACTATAAACTAAAGAATGTCTTCGAAAGAAAGCCACTTCTACACTAAGGAATACTAAAATATAGGAATTGCGCTAGTTGGGTACTGGAAGCATCTGCTCAATTGTCTAAACACACTGCCAAAGCAAGAATGTAAGAAGATCCTGATTATTGGATGCTTCGAAGAAATTGATGCTACAGCAGCACGGCAGGACAGAAATCACTATTGGTGAGAGATAGCCTTCAGAATGGAGACGGTAGCTCGATTGGGCGACAATAGGATATTTCGCCTTCTTCAACTATAACTCGGGGAACGATCAGTAAAATGGTAAGGTATAGCAACGGCCTCGTTCAAAGTTTTAAGAATTGCCTCACCAGGTGGAATTCTTTGAGGTCAAACTTAACCTTGATACGCCATCTGTTAACCCAAACATTCGTCGAACCACACGTTTGCAATTGAGAATCGCCAACAAAAAAAGAAATATTCTCCGTTATCCATACGCTTAAGATCAATAAGACTCCGGGAGAAGAGGGGTCTTTGAGGTGAACTCTCCAACTTTTCATAATGAACCTTCAATAAATGTACTTTCTGGTGTGGAAGAAAGAAATATTACTACATGATTGGAGCAAAGCAATTCTGCTCCAAATTCTTACGAAAGGTGATAGGACAAACTGCGACAATTATCGAGGAATCAGCCTACTAGACGTCTCAGCGAAAATTTTTGCTTCCCTGTTACTCAACAGACTTATGGAAGTACGGGACAACAGAAGCGCAGTTGTGCTGACCAGATATTCACGTTAAGAAGGGTATTGGAACATCGCTTCAGATATTTGCAACCCACCATTACGTATTTATTTCATCGATCTTACGATTACCTTCTATTCAATTGATGGAATGGCGCTTCGAAGGAACGCGACGGTATTTTTCCAGAGAAGATCATTTGACCCATAAAGACATTTTATCGGCGTACGTCGGCGTAGATCTGCGTATATGGGGAACTGACGGATTCCTTCGAATTAAAAAGTGATGTTCAAAAAGGATGGGCCCTTTCTCCTATAATATTCAATAGAATGGATGATGGATATCGCTTGTAGGTACTCAAGTGGTGAAATCAGTCCAGAGCATAGTATCACAGACACTGATTTTATCGTCCTTTTTGCTGACAATTATGATGATATGCAAATAATACTACCACAACGTGTCAACAACTGCAGCGAGAATTGGACTCAGAATCAATGTGAATAAAACGAAAGTGCTTTCGTTTTATATATAAGAACTAATAAAATATCGATTTTATCAATTCATTTCTAGCTGGAAGAGCTCCACTTTAAATACCTTGGGAAAAAAGTTCCAAAAAGCCAAGCGAAAGACGATATTATATGACGATAGACGAATAAAGAAAGCTAGAAACATGTTCTTCGGGTTCTTCTGGTTGACGAAACCTTAATGGAGCTGTAGCGAAATCACCATAAAGACAAAGGTCCGCGCAATTTGCTCGATCTTGCTAAATGGTTACGAAATATGGCCAATGAAAGAAACAATTTGCCTTTGACTACTCATGTCTAAGACATATTTCATCGGCCCTCCAAGAGGATAAAATCTCATACGTTTATACCAATTATCTTTGTTCAAATACAACCGGCATTAATATTACCATCACAGAGCGTCGCATTCGCCAGTTAGGACAAATTCCCACTACTATAAGAGTTGATATATCTCGTTATTTGCTAAACATTGTGAAAATGGATGACGTGAAAATAGAAGTGGGCCAATAAAAACCTGGGCTGATACGGTCGGGAAAGATTTTAACGCATGGATGGACCAGCAATATATGGACTTAGACGATGGAAAAAGGAATAGTTTTTATTACTGTCGACGATTGGCGTCAGATCGCGCTTGAAAACTTCTTACCCTTGTAGTCACTGGAGTCAGCCAAAGCAATGATGAGAGTTGTTAGAAGAAGAAGAAAGAATAAAATTTCAGGCTCCTTATTTTAAATTACCTATTTAAGAAAGTTTAATAATAAAAATATTGGTTGAAAAATTTGCTTATCAGATTGTTGCATTTCTGGATTGACAACAGCTGTTTAAGAAGGCAGTGTGCAAAGATTTCCGAATTACCTAATCAGATGTGCTTAATAAAGTCAAGGAATAAGCTGAGTAAGAAATCTTGTGGTATTCATTTGAGATAAAATTATTGTAAGGTCTGCGATGCTGATGCTGATAAAGCAATTGTGAGGATGATTTTGATAAATTCAGCATTAAAATTGATTGCATGCAGCAAGCTTTGAAAGCTTAGGCAAACCAATTAAGCCAAAAAAATAACTTAAACATGCATGATACGATAGTTGAAACTTTGCAAGTATCTAGCTTTATAAGTATATTTCGTGATTTCTATGCAAATTGCAAAGCAGTGCAGAATTCGACATTTGTCGGTGTAAGGTTATTATGGACATTTTGATTTTTTGTAAGAAATTAGTTTCAGAAGAGATATGTTGTTTTAACAAGATCAAGCAGCATGAGGTCGATTCGATTGTTCGAAGTTTGGCCTCCTGATGAATGGGTAAAAGTGGAATATGAGTGAGTGGCTGCTGATCCGCGCTTTTATCAACAATTGGCTCTTTAGCAAATTCTCAAGTAGCGGATTCAAGCGAATTGCGAATGCGAATAAGAAGAAAGGGGAAGAAACAGCAAAATTGAAATAAATAAAATAAAATATTAATTAAAATAAAAAATCTGCCGGGAGAAAATATTTGTGCTACTAACGAATAATGACACATTTTTTCGAAAATCCGCTATAGATTATAAACCATGGAAATATAAATGAAAGGCAAAGCCACTCGATGCTTCAGCGCAAACTCTTTTGAAATATTTTCATCAAATAAAAAATGAATTTTTTTCAGCGAAATTTTTAAGGACTTTTAGTGAGATTAGAATGATGCTTGAATGGCAATATGCGCACAGCTTCATATGGTATGATTTCAATCACTGCTTCATTATTGCTGATCAATACAAAAAAATGGTAAAGAACGTTTAAAAGATGGTGATAAGTTATCAAAATCTAAGGCTTCAAACTTGTATACCTTCAGCAACAAAAATTAGTCGATATCAGTCTCACTATACCTTACCTCGATTCGTTAATGAGGTTAAAGTTAAAGATATTAATTTACCTAGTGATAGATTATTTAGCGACGCCACAGCTGTTTGTGGTATCAATTTTCTTGGCGTTTCGGAGGATTCGCTATTGTCAGTTTTCAAAAACGGCCTAGCGAAAAGCGTTGATTTGAAATCAGTAACTGTTTTTGCTTGAAAAACACGTGGCATTTTTGCGGTTGATTCATCATATAACGGGCCAGATATAGAGGGAATTTGCGAGATTTTCATCACTGGTGTATCTGTTTGGATTCCTGTATTCGATAATACAGTAGAAATTAAGTGTTCCTGTGATTGCGTATTATCAGCGCCACTTTTCTTTAGATCTGAATGCCGTTCTAAATTGGTAAAAAAACCTACAGTAGAAAATACATCATTAAATAAAAAATGATATTTTGTTGAAGATTCATTTCCTTCAATGAAATCTACAAGCTCATTTGATGTGTTTGATAATTTCATTTGATTATATTCATTTATATCGGCATAACCAAAATTATGGGTACCAAAGCTTCTAGAAGCTGATTCGATGCTACTATCTTTGTTTAGTGGATAGTTGGTTGTACTTTTTTCTGATAAAGAAGACAAGTGATCGATTAGGTTTTTAGATCTTTCTTCAACGCCTATTAAGATCGATGATGAAGTTGGATAAGCAGTTTTTATGCTCATATCAGAACTTCCAGTTTTGTCTCCGCCTTTATTTTCAACAACATGGGTTTCATAAATCTTAATACTTTGTATGTCTGTTGATAACGAAAATTCTCTCTTGTTACTCTTATTTTCATGAATTTTTTCTGTTGTAACCTTGTTATTACAATTACCTCGCTCAATGTTATTATTATTTTCCTGATCGGCGGTCATAACATAAATAGGTCCTGAAGTTCGCAAAATCTTTTCTTGATCTGATTTGGCGGTATGCGTATAAGCAAATTGATTAGAAAAAGATCGAACGGTTGGAATTTTTGTGTCAACCTCGCTTTCATCCGATATATTCATGGATCGAGAATTCAGTGAGGTGTGAATATTTTCATATGAAAGGTTAGAACGGTGCGAATTCAAATTGAGTGAATTATGTTGTAATTCTTGAGTTAATAAGTGACATGTATTGAGTGATTGCAACGGTGGCGTAATTTTTGAATCTAATAATAACAATGATTTAATTGGATAAAATTTTTCATGACTGAAATTCAGCGATAAGGGTTCTAAATATGATAAGGAACGATTTCCTGCAGATGCATGATTTGTTGAATCGAGTAGAATATGTTGTGCATCATTTTTAACTGTATAAAAAGGTAATAGTGTATGAAGCAGTGAAATAAGTGCTTCGTGCGAATTTTTTGAAACATTCTTACAAGTTTGAACTGCTTCCCCACTTGTATTTTCACTCGTCTGCTGCAATACGTCCATGGTCGTTTCCGGCAAAGCTGTAAACACTTGCGTAGTTTCACTACCTGATGCATTTATAATAGAGGTCTGTTTCGCTTCCATGCTTTTTCCTGAAGGTATAAATTTATGAAAACATTTTGTGAGTTCCTGAACCATCGTTAGCAACACAGTATTATCTGATTTTTTCATAATCTTTTTCTTTTTTTTCATCTTTTTTTTCTGTACTTTTTTTTCCATTTCTCACACCATTGCACCATTGTGGCGCCAGTCACTAATCATAATTCCGATGTGATAATTTGAAAGTGACACTTTTTTAAATGGCTAAAGTGCTAACTCGAAAATCTTGCACAGTGTATTTCACATTCTCTTTTTGAAAAGAAATGATTCCTATTGCCTGCACAACCACCATATTGGAATGATTCACATGCACCTATCTTGGAGTTAAAAAACCACCTTAGAATACTCTTCTTGCATGGTCCAGTATCCTGAAAGTTTTTTTCTAATCAAATATTAAGTATTAATACACTAGTGCTCAAAATTAAATGGCACCTACCAAAGCTATTCCTTGTGGTTTCGGGCTTTCTTTTTACCGTAACCCGAGTCTTTAACTTGCAGCACACTAAAGCTCCATTGATACGTTGCTGATTTTCATTATTGTACTGACTGACTAGACGACACAGATCTGTTAATAGCCTCATTGGCTAACCTGGATCATGGGATAACAAGTTCATTTTCATGCGCATCAATTTCATAACTAATTTGCAAATAAAGGAAATTCATACAAATTTTGGTCAATCAGTCCTTTTCATGACATATTGTGTTGCTGATCGGAATTCGTGGAAACTGTATTTTATACAGGATTTCATAAAGCAAAAGAGGTGTTTATCAAAAGACTCATTAGTTGAAGGAAAACAATGCCATAGAGCAACCACAAGCGAAAATATCGAATTAAATTATTTAATAGCTAAACTGCTTAAATTTGATGGCCAAGAGAATGGACCAAATTTTCTGGTAGAAAAATCTCTCGAACAAGTTTTCATCTGTGAATCATTTTAATATTTCAGTCTTTTAAGCCCGCTCCATAAATCAGTCTTTTAGGGGATGTATTTCATGCTAATCAAAGAAAAGCGATTTTTGTGGCATTACTAACCATGTTCTCGAGGCATTTTTCGTTGTATCGGGAAAATGATTTGTGATCGTAAGGCACTGTATTTTCTGAATGACTTAGGCTACCTGAAACTGACATAAGAACTAAATTATTCAACTTGGGTCTTACTTGACCTTTAGAAACCTAAAGGGAAATTAACATTTTCCATAAGCAAATGAACAATAACTGGTTTGAATCTTAATACAGAACATTGAGAAATGAAATATGAGATCATCAAAGAATTATTAAATTTAAGCCAAAATTTAATACTTTGATTTTAATAAAGAAAAAAACCCCATCTGAGCTCTAAATATATATATATGCTTATACCATACAAATTAGGTGTAGATACTCACCTGATATTTGGTATGAGAACTGGTTTAGAGCATGTGATGGAAATGATTGTGATGCTGTTGAGGGTGCTGATTGCGAAAGCAATGAGGTTGGACTTGCAATTGTTGAATGATCTGTTGTAGAAAAATAAGACAAAGTTGAGGATGTTAAGTTGAATGGTGTTGCAGATGATGTTGCAGTTGAAGGTAATCTGGTCGAATGAGTAGGTTGAAGTGTTGATAACAAGACAGGTAAAACTTTTTGTGATTCAACAGATTTGCTCCGTAGTGCAATATGTAATTTACCATCGGGTGCGGTGAAACCTGTGCCCAAATGACGTGGTGTTGCACTGAATACGTCCTTAGGATGAATAACTGGACATACACACTCTTGACACCCACGACGATTTGAAAAAATTATACAAGGTTCAGTGCACATCAAAACATCGACAAATGGACAGTTGGATTCCATAATTTGGTTACCTGAAATTTTTAGTTTGCAAATAAATTATTACCTAAATGAACTGGACATTTGCTAAAGATGAAACATTAATTTTATACTAAAAACATAACATAAACCACACTTTGAACATTTCTTTCAAAAATCTCATACGTCTAAAATTTTAATGAGTGCAAAAAATGGGATTTTTTAATTCTTTAATAAGAAGAAAAAGAATCCATATTTGAATCGTAAAAATGTTGCGAAAGTGATATATGTGGCATCAAGAACAGTAACTGGTGTTCTTCTAAAAGGCTCGTAACGGTTCACAAAGCAAGCAGGATTTTTTCTTTTTCTTCAATCTATCAATCTATCTGGAATGATAGATTGATAAGAAAATCTGCCCACTTCCACTAATCATAAAAGTGAAGGAAAAGAATATATTATTCGGCAATAAATACCTCTGCATATACTCTAATTTTTAAAAAATGAAGTCTGCAAATTTCTAGAATGAAAAAAAATAATAGAAAATAAACGATAGATAACGAAAGCTTATTAAACAAAGTTGAGTGAGAGATGAGTGAATAAATGAAGAAAAAGATATCTATGGAATATTTATCCCCACACGGCTATTAAAGGTCTTGAAAGGGGTAAACTGATTAAAATAATATTTTTTTGGTTAAGATAAAGCATCACGGGCTTGATTCGCGTTAAATCGAAGCAACGCTGGACATACATTTACCACTAAGTAATTCTTTGGCGAAAGAGTCTCAACCCTTATTGCAGTCAACCAAACCACAAATGAAATTTGCTTTTAGACAAAAAGGAACACAAGTGAAAAAGAAAAATATGAAGCCCAAACAACAACAACAACGATAAAGTGACAAACGGTGACAAAAGTGTGAATATAACAATGGAGATTTTCGTCAAAAAACGATAAAGAAATATGGGATGAAGTGCCAGAAACAGTGAATTTTAAATCTTCAAAAAAAATTCGAAATTTTTTTGCAGTTTTACCTAAAGGAGATGGTTGTTGAACAGGCGGGCAGCTACAGAATAGGCAACCTTGTGCATCACTCACCAACTGACATCGAGAAAAGTCGCAACGTGGTTGTGATAAACATGTCACTAAAAAAATTTTTTAATCTTTTTTCATACGGAAATTGGCTCCAAACACCAAGATCGGACTTAGATCGATTTGGAAATGAACAAGTGACCAAAAATACTTATTCCAGAGTTCTAATATAAAAAATTCTTTAAGAGTCCTCATCATTACTGGTTAAACTCGCTCCGCTGGCTTGTCGCACTGGACAAATATGCTAGAGAGCCCTTTGGCAATAGAAATACAGGTGAATCGCCAGCATTACCAGGGATATATAAAAATTATAAGTTCGCTAAACGGAGTCGAATCTGAGTGATCAGTCTTTTCGAAATAGATAAAAAGGAAATGGAGATACCTAATTAAAAATTTTTTCAACAAATTGTATAAACAAATTAAATTTATAGAGAAGTATAATTATTAGAACTTGAGGGCAATAGGCTACGGAAAATCAATTCTATTATAATGAAGATTCATAAACCTCTTAAGCATGCTGTACGGCACTCAGCAAGAGTCGCAAAATTATTGCCATTCCCACCACATCCACCATAGGTGAATGAACGGCATTCATTTATTGAGGCATCGTAAGCAAATCGTGCAAATATGCCCGAACATTCGCCGACTTCAATTGGATGCTTACAAACATCAGTCGGAAGATCGTCACCTATAAAAACTGATTATAAAACTGATGAAGAAATGGCCAAATGATTTCGAAAATTTCACCATCAAAACGTGCCTTCCAATTATCAACATTCAAAAAAATTTATGTAAAGATATTAATAATATATGAAGATATTAAAGCGCCCAAGGAACTAATTTATCTCCATTTAAATAAAAGGCATATTTGAAGCGAAAAATTTCAGCCTACAAACTATCTTAAATCAATCTAAATGATTATCTTTTTTATAAAATGGTAAAATACCAGAGATAAGAGATTGGACCAATTTTCACCATAAAAATAAAATTTACCATGTTTTTTACATCTCTTTTTACAATCAGATTCAGTCGCAAAATTATTTCCATTGCCACCGCATCCGCCATAACGAAAAGGTTTACATTCACCACTGACTGAATCAAAAGCATATCGTTTAAAATCGCCGTTACAAGTGCCAGGATCAACTTTATGGTCACATACATTTGACGAATCTAATATTTCCACCGAATCTTTTGCTAAAAATAAAAGTTTTCTTACTGAACAGATCATAAAATTGTAAATTTTCATTCATTTCTCTACCTTAACATTATTCGCAAGATTTTATTGTGATAGTTAGCGCGTAAAGCTTACAAGATGCATAAAAACCTAAATTGAAAAAATAATGCAATATTAGTATGAAAAGTTCATATCAAGGCTTAGCAGTTGATTAAAAGATGGAGAAAAGTCAAAATTACCTCGATGGCATGTATCTAAACACTCTCCTTGAGTAGCAAAATTGTTGCCATTACCACCACAACCACCATAAGTGAATATCTGACAAATTTCGAGTTCAGAATTCCAGAACCAACGAGGAAAATTGCCGAGACATGTACCAGGATCACGAATATGAGTGCAGCGATTTTCTGGAATATGTTCCAAATTTACTTATTTTATTTTTCCCAAATATCTGACTATTAGATGAAACTGAAGAAAGAGAAAAAATTCCAAGAATCACCAGAAAGGGGGGGAGATAGTGGAAGAATACGTTGCGATCTGCTTAGAGGCGTGCTGATTTGAAGTACTGCCGCTTTTTCAACTGGCACTTCCAACTGGATTGGAGATGCCTTTGAGAACTCAGGTGTAGTTTCGGATATCCTTAAAGTAGCCGTATGTAATTCTTCCGCATGATCTGTCTGTTTATTAAAATGCTTAACGGATGTTTCATGATCAATATTCAGTGTTGTACTAATTCTGAAATGAATTTATAATATTGACTTCCAACAAATACAGACAATAAAAAAATTTATAACGCTGCAGACAATTTTTGTGGTTGTGGTTGTAGTTTGAATTAGTGATTGCTTTTGCCTAAAGAAAACATGCAATCAAAAAATATAGAGTGGAAAGGATGAGTTTTCGCTCTCTTTCAGAATGCCGGTCCTAAAGTTCTGCTCCCGGTGGTAGTAAACATGAACAGCAGTGCAGTTGTAGTTCTACCTTCAAATGACTAGCAAAATTTGTCTGGTCCTACAACCCAGTTAAATGAGTCTGACTAGAAATGATAAGAGCTATCAAAAAAGTGATATAAAATATAACAATAAAATTAGAAAATTCCAAACCATCGTGTGATTTATGCAAAATTTTACATTTTAGGTTGAATAGATGATAGCTTTTCTTCTTTATTCTTTCCATCGGTGTCGCCATCAATATTATCCAATGTTTCTACTGCTTTAACATAAGATGTGGGCTTTATTTCGTCTGTTTCAAATTTAGTTGCCAAGATATTTGCTTGCATGGTAATTGTTGCTTCCGTTTTTGCCATCGTTGTGGCTGTTAGCACATTTTTCGTTATTTGTGGTCCTCTATGATGAGTAACAATCGCAATTGTCGGTAAATTAGCAATTGTTGGTGTAACTGAAGTGATGCGTTCATACGACAACTTTTTAGCTGCTTGTACTTTAGCTTTTGTTATTACAAGATTGGTAGTAACAGCTGGAGCGATTTTAGTCTGGTCTTTTTGAGAATCAGCATCTGAAACATGAATGGATTGGATTCAAAGGTCATAATGAAGAGAAAATATGGAGCTTTGGTTGTTAAAGGTTATTCAAATTTAACTTACTCCTTCCACAAGCCTTTTCACATTCTTCAACAAGTTGAAAATTATTTGCATTTCCCTGACAACCCCCAAAGAAGAAATATTTACATTCCTTTAAATGGTTATTATAATAAAATCGTAGTTCATAACGATCACATGGACCTCGCTCTTTCGGCAACTGACAAATACTTGTATCAACACCAGAAAGAACAGCATCTGAAGTTTATTATCTACTGGGTTTCTTACAAACTATCAAAATTCAAGTTCGCTGACAATACTCTGCGATTCTTTTTTATTTCTTTAACCAAAGCATAAAAATTTTTAAACATTAAATAAACATTTTTGCGAATCTAGTGATCATCCAGAAAGGCAAGTTCAGTTGAAATTGAAATTCCTTTTATACGATAATTTAAAAAAAACCTGCAGTTTTGTCAATAAATGGACAACAAATTGAACTTCGTTCGGTTGCTGAGCACTTGTATCCTGCAGGACATGGAGTTTGAGCACAGTTAAACGGCTTTCCTTGAATGGTAAGAGGTTCCACACCACTGCTGCAACTTTTTGAACCAGTTGTAGTAACACACTGCTTTTCGCAAACTGATTTACTTACGTAATTGTTCCCATTACCTCCGCAGCCTAAAATTATTTGTTGAAGCATTTCTAAATTCGTAAAATCATTAAAAAACAATGTTGAATAATCATATAGTAAGTACGAACTGACTTCTTTTGATTTCCTTCTATACAAGGTTTATTTTAAAAAATTTCCATAAATCTTCGTTAATTTGTAATTATATTTTAAAAGAAGAAAAAAGGGAATTATAAATTCAGTGTTGTACATCATTGTTTTCATTAGAAACGAACTGGCAAAGCCTAAGAACATCCTTATCTGTCTGCAGTAAAATATAAGTTTATCTTGATATAAATGAATTAATTAAAATTTAAAAAAAATCAACATTGATTCCATAGTGGAAAGTCTATTACAATCGCAGTTATCGGTCATCTTCTGATTGGATTAGTACTATTGATATCGTTATCAATCAATTTATCATAATTCCGCCAAGACCTTTGATACGGTTTTTCGTGATAAATTAGTAAATGTCATTAATAATTTAACTGAGAATCTATTTTTTGAAAGCAATTTCATTAAAAAATTTCCGGATTAAAAATTGATATTCCAAAAGTTGAAAATTTTAAATCAAGACCATTAAGATATCTATAAATAGTCAAAAAAAGTGCGAAACAATTAGAAAAAAAAATCCATTAATATTCTTCAATCAAAAAAATTAAAGGATGTGGAATAGTTTTTATGAACAAATTTGAATTCATTGTCTCACATTTTTTTTTATACCACTGTTTAAAATTGCTTATTATTTTATTTCCGATTCCCATGAATTTCAAAATTTTCACTTACCAGAGTAATCAAAACTTTTACAAATCTTTTCATTATCATCATGATACCATCGTTTTATTGAAGAATTGCATGGTCCCTTATCATATTTTATTGAACATTCTTGTGTGTTAGGTTTGATTGCATTCATGATTCCTGAAAAACAAGCAATTTTGCAATAAAAAGATAAAAATAACAAAAAAACTACGTACGAGAACAATCAGGATGATTGCCATTGCTCATTCTTGAATTTGCAATTTCATTTCCATTCGAATCAACACAGAAGCAGTGCTGTCCCTCTATGTCGCATTGTAAAGATCGAAATTCACCGGACTTTGTACATATAGGTATGTAAGCGATTTTTATCAAATTGCGTTCACTTGCCTGTTTTTGACGGAAACACTCTGGAAATATTCAACAACACTTTTAAAAAAACGAATTTATAACTAATGAATGGTTTGTTTCATAACAACAATGGAAATTCACCCGTTTTCGGCTCTTCTTCTTCATCTTCTTCTTCAGGTAATGGTGCTAACGTAGCATAAATTTGTTCTCGCGTTGGTGGTTGTTCATCTTGTTTCGGTTCAGTATGCGTAGATTCCAGTAAACAAGCACCTTCACATTCTTCTTTATATCGGAACAGAACTGGCTCATTTTCATCTTCCGAACAATGGCCTTTAATATTCATTTATTCAGAAAATTTTTAAAATCATTGGATATAGACCGGCCATACTCAGGCAACCTTTAGAAAAATGGGCGCTATCATTATTGTTTATATAAATAAAATCGCTAAGATATATTTTATCAGTTGAATATATACTACAACACTTTCTTAATATAATTTTACCACTTTTTCTGTATAAGAATATGGTCAATAAAAAAGAAGAGTGGGAATTAAAAAAGTTTATATATATAAATGTGCAAACTTTATATATTAACCACGACAGTGCATCGTTTTTACCAAAAAGTTCCATCTAACAAATCCAATTTTTTCGGTTGTCAAAGAAAAAAAGTTGAAAACCTAGTTAGGAAGCATTGCCTACCGAAAGGATAAGAAACACATTCGTTATCTCTTAAATAGTAACGCAGAACAAATTGTGAACGCATTTGCATGCCATTACTGGTTGGTGGACATCGCCCACGGAATGGTTGTCTCTTGCACGGATTCAATTCATCTGAAATTTAGCAAAAAATCAGAGTCAAAAATCAGTCTATAATTTTAATATCGACTTGAAGTCCAAGGAAACCAGTTTTTTCGTGTGAACTGTGGTAAAAATAAAATTTATAAAAAGTAATTTTATAATTATATAAATAATTTATATAAATTGATTTCGTAAATAGAGATGCCATTTATTTCCTGCAACTCATTTGGACCGGAGAATAGAAAAAATTAATGCATCAGATCTGTTTGGAATGTATAATGGTTATCTAGGCAATTTTTTTATAACTGGAAAAATTAAAAGAACTAGGCCAACAACCATCCATTTTTAAGTGAATCACAGTAAGGACACTGCCACAGATCACGATTAATTGGATCCTAAATTTTTATCCTAATCTATCCTAATTTTAAACGATAAACGATATTTCGGTTTTAAATTCTACTCTTTCATTGATGAAAAATTATTGAAAAAAATGAAGATTTGCCTGTACATATAGCTAAATACTGGCTTTAATAAAGTAAAATCTGAAATAAACCTGCAAAAATGAATGACCAAACTGATACAAGCGAAGCGAGGGCGATAATGCCCTTCACTGACATCTTACTGCAAAAAATGGAATATATTTTTAAAAATATCACTTACGATATGATGCGACGACAAATCGATGTAAAATTTGTTAAATTTTTTATAAAAGAATAAATTTTTGCATATAGCATAAGTTCGATTTATGCCTCTTCACAGAACCATTAAAAGGGAAATTAGCATAACTATAGGGGGGTCCACCTGCTTTTTTATCCCCAAATAACTCTGTGGTAAGCGGGATTCACAGTAGCTAGAAGACAGTGAAGGCACATAAACTGGAAATGATGCATGCCACTGTATGAAAAAAAAAGAAATTTAGTAAAAGGTGGCAAAGAATGAGATTATTCAAATCTGTTGTATTCAACATTATTAAAGAAATAATATTTAAAGAAATAAGATTTCAGCAATTTTTCGTGAAAGTCAGTGTTTTAACAAACAAATTTTGTAGATATAAAAATTTCATTTACATTTAAATTTCACATTCTTAAAAAAATTTCTTCTTTTTGATACAAATTCTTTGAAATTCTTTGAAATATAAATTTTTTGAAAAATTGTTGAGGGGCAAAAATAAAAATTTGAAATCTTTTGTGGATGAATAAGCTTTAAGAAAATTAGGAAAAAATGAAGCACCCAAAAGGAATTTTCGATTTAGATGATAGGTGGAAAACTGCAGATAGGTGAATCACTCGCTTAAGATTAATGATTTTTTAAACGAATGATTCTGATGACATTCGTAAGGAATTGCGAACAAACAATTTTGTGAGATTTTTCTAGTGATTGAAGAAGAACACCGATGCACTTAGAAGATTTAAAATTTTAATAATTTTGGAATAATAGTCTTTTATAAGTTTATCCAGCCTAAATTTCCAATTTCGAAATGGGAGGAATTCATGCAAGATTTGGAAAAAAAACTAAAATAGGGCAGTAAAACAGCAAAATCAAAATCAAACTACTGGCATATATTTCAATAACATCAGACTTTCCTGCTACAGCCAAGCAAAATAATTCAGAATTTATGAACAATGGTAAACGATGAGATAAGCACTAACTGAAATTTTCCATTTCAAAAGTACTTTATGTAGTCAAATTGGTTTAAAGCGAAAAAATTTTTGAATAATTTTGGCACAATCTTCTTTATGCAGCTTAAAAAGGATTTTCCGATATGGTAAGCTTAAAAGCACTCATTATTCATAAATCAACTGATAATGATAAAAATTTACATAAAGCATCGCCAGAATGCCTCTAGAAATGATTAAGAAATGATGATGGCCGACATAAATTTAAAATTTCTCGGAATAGCCCGATTGTGTAATCTATGGTATTTGTGGTTATTACAGGCGATAACTGTATATGCGCTTTTTTGCTGGAAATTTATAGAACTGATTGAAACCTGGAGTTAGTCCAAAAAAACGTTAATTTCCATATAGTCCTTTATCATACCGCTTCGCGCACGAAAGAATGGGGCTAAATGAATCATTCTTCGATAAAATTCTATGTCTTCGAACAATATCCATATGGCCACTAAAATTTGTCCCACATTTTTCAATCAATTTTTGATAGAAAATAAATCTTCAGTAAATTAAATCCACTAATTTCACATCAACAAGTTACATTTATGAGTAGCATTTTTACTCAGAATTTCACTCAGAATTTTTTTTTTCTAATAGATAATTGAAATCTTTTTTAATTGGGAGACATCCATTTTTACAAAAAGTTGATAGAATTCATCCATAGTGTTGTATACAACATTGTTTCAGATGGAACTTTTTTGCTTAATCATTTAAGGATGCAAAATATTTACATGAAAGCAGAAGGATAATGAAGTTTGTGCAACAGTAGCAACGATGAAGTGAACTAAATCGCATATAATTATTGCCTATTTCAGACCCGAAATCTGTAAATAAACCCTTAAAAAGCAGAGAAATTAAAAATAATTTATTTAGATATCAGATAAAGATATTCATAATTAATGATGGTCAGGTTATTTAGTATTTAAAAGCAGGCAGGCCAGAGAAAGTAAGATTATGCACGTGTAGGCATCAACAATAAGCAAGGCAATATAAAGAGCACAAACACTTAGGGCTAATTACAAACCAACTGAATAATTTTATGGATAATTTTACTTAATTCTCAGAACAGATTGCTTGATTTTCTAAATAAAAATCACATTCCAATATTTGATAATATGAACAAAGATGTTTATTTATTTGATGTTTTCAGTAATTTCAATCTACTCCTTATTTTCGAATTTAAATAAAAATGAAATATTTCTTCTAAATTTGTATAATATTAGCACAAAATATCTCTTTGAAAGAGAAGTTCTTTGATATTCTTTCAAGGATGAGATTAATTACCACCCTCTATTAATTCCATCGACTCCATTCATTATATATGGGAGAAACAATGCTGTACTATATTTTAACTGTGACCGATCAAAAGTTTTATGCTTTATAAAATGAAAAGCTTCAGATATATTTCTGAAGTTCTGAATAAAAAAAATTCAGTAAATTAGATTTCCATCAATTCATAAACCTAGGAAAATCATAGAAATTATAGTTTATAGTTTAAATCATAGAAATTCGTATTTCTTAGAAATCTAAGAAATCATACAAGGTAAAAGAATTTGAGTTAATATGTGCAATCTGGCATTGAAAGCTAATCTGTTTAATAACTTAACCACATTATCAAAGTCCAATTAAAAATAAAAAATTCCAAAAAAAAATTTCAAGTTTCAAATTTCAAAAATATCCGAAAGAAACCATAAAATGACTGAAGCAAAAGAAGACGAATACTGCGAAATAAAGAAAAAAAGCATTAGAATAAATTCGCTCAGAAAAATACTGTATATACACACAATATTTCAATTGTAAAAATACGATAGATTTTAAATTTTAATTAATGAACTAGGAAATATTATAAAATGTGCGTCGTAACAAAAGCAACTAACATTTGAAACTTTAGAAAAATTGCATGGATAAAAAAAATTTTTCGAATAATTTATAAAAAGAACTTGTAACTAACAGCGGAAAAAGAGTATACAACATCTAATGAAAAATATATAGTAAGAAGGCTAATCTAAAATTTGGGAAGGGGTCAATGACGGAGATCGAGAAAGGTGCAAACGGGTACAGTGTATGACATAAAGAAAGGGTTGTCGACCCTGACCCACTATTCTTTTCATTGCCTTTTTCCTCATTAATTCGTTGTTTTTACAGCGAAGATATATGCATTAAAGCATATATAGAAGCATTAAAAACATCAACAGAAAAATATTTTTCGTTATTTTCGTTATATAAATATTATATTTATTAAACAAAATTCCGACTAAAGCAGGATTAATTAATAATCGGAATCAATTCCTTAATGAATGAATATCATCTCAATAAAATTCACTAAAAAACTTAAAAATATTTTTGTTGAAGAACTCTTTTAAAATTTTTGTGGCGATTTTTCAGAAAAAGGAACATTTGGTGAATTCTCATCCAGTTTTTTTGAAATAATCTTCTTCTGCCTACAAAATCACAAAGCAAGTTTTGACATACTTGCTAACTGATATGATAGCACACTAATAACGAACTTGAAATATACGATTTAAAAAAACATTCGGGACAAAACTAAAATAAAATAATTTCGTTTTTTTCAACATATCTGAGAAATTCAGTATTTCGCTGAGAACATTTCGAAAACAAATGCAGCATAATAGCAGTTCTCTATCAAATTAATCCTTTAAAAGTTTTTTCCTCTATTAAACAAAATTTAAAGTTCTACGAAAGTCGGCACAATTAATAATGCTTACTTTTCTCCAGTTGCTACTGGTGAACCATTACATATGTACTTCCATTTCAAAGGTAAACTTCTTAGTTTCATATTCCATATCATTCCAATGGAGAAAGCCTAACCAGAAATCACGAACGCCGTTTACTTGTTGCAATTACTTTTTTTTAAAAGATTCCTCACCATTGCTGTTTACACTCGCTCCGCTGGCTTGTCGCACTGGATAAATATGCCAGGGAGTTCCTTGGTAATAGAAATATAGGTGAGTCACAGCATCACTCGGATTTTTATACATGTTAATTCCTACGAGGAATCGAACCTCAGCTTCGGCACTCCAAACTGAGGAAACCCACTGAGCCAAACAAACCAATATTTGCCATATGATGCCAATTTTTCAAAATTTCATTGATAGATCTTTATGCCTTTTTCACCCTTTTTAAATTTTTCTAACAATAACAATGTTGTCAAAATGAAAAATAATTAATTAAGCCACACCATTAACAATGAATACGAGATAGCCTAGTGGACAATGACTCAGACCATCGTATTAAGAGGTAAAGATTCAGCACCTTCTGCCGACAGAGGCTATGCTAAAATCCAATTGGTGCCGATGGTCCACTTTTATCTCAAAAGACTGTTTGGCAATAATTTCAACAAATGGCAGTAAAAAGCGCCATAGCAAATAAAGAG